AGCTCAGCAGCATAGGGCCATAAAGCTTGTTCCAAATATAGGATGTGAATGGAGACTTCCAGCTTAGTGATGTGGGGCTTCATACACTACAGTTTTCATTATAGCAATTAATAGGTTGTTGTCATATCTGTGTTTTATTTTTATTTCACAAAAAGAAGCTAATTCAGTTTGTTTGCTTGTTTGTTTTGGTACCAGGGATTGAACCCAGGGGTGCTTAACCACTGAGCCACACCCCTCAGTTTCCTCTTTTTTTTTTGACATGGTGTCTTGCTAAATTGCTGCTGGCCTGGAACTTCAATCCTCCTGCCTCAGCCTCCCAAGTCCCTGGGATTATAGGCATGCACCACTGAATTCAGTTTTATTTTTAATATTTTTGTCATATAAACACACATAGACTTATCAATGGACTATAGAAGATACAAAATAAGTTTTAAAGATGTCGAATCTTTAAGAATATTGTGGCAGCTTTCCAAAATTAAATAAGTTTTAATTTGGGGCTTGGGTGATAAAAAGTTTTCAGTTTTTTTTTTTGTTGTTGTTGTTGTTGTTGATGCTAGAGATTAAACCCCAGGCCCTGAGGCATGCTAAGCAATTGTTCTATCACTGGGCTCCCCTCCCCTCCCTGAAAAATAATTTTGAATTAAGGAAAGGGATGGTATCACTGAAGGTGGAGATACTAATCTTATCTTAAACTGTTGAGAAAGTCCTTTAAGGAAGGGAATTAAAACTGATCTTTGACTTCTTTTAATATCTCCAATGGAATTAGTCTTTTGGAACCTGTGTGCTGGTCAACTTCTGGGAACATGGCACACTAAGCTAATAGCTCATCTCTGCATATAAACAAATAGAAATGCCAGATGAAACTAACAACAAAACACTTACCTCCTCTCCAGGTTTATTAACAAACTGAAACTCTTGTAATTTTTTCTATAAAGAAAGTAAGAAGGAAGGAAGGGAAGAAGGAACTGGCCTCAGCTCTAAACAGTGAGAGCAGGCACACATTTCACTGCAAAGATAGAGCATAGGCATTTTTGTCCATTGATACATGCATTCCTCATAGATATTTTTATACGTAGAGTTTTGGCTACACCATTCATTCCTCTGATTGAGACCCTTACTTTTTGGAGTATGTTGGAGCTTGAGTTAAAATTGTTGAAGTCTCAGCTACTCCTTAGATCCTCAAATCCTAATCTGAACAATTACATATTTATTCCATGGTTATTTAGACCTTAAGATGATTATTGAATACATAGATTCTGATAATCTCTGCAAAAGTCTAATCATCTTTCAAGCTTTTTTATTGTGGTAAAATATATATATAGCATAAAATTTGCCATTTTAACTATTTAAATGTGTAATTCAGATGATTTAATTATATTTACAGCATTATGCAGTCATTGACACCATCTATTTTCAAAATTTTTCATCACCCCTAACAGAAGCTCTGAAACTATTAAGAAATAACTCCCCATCTCCTCCTCTGCCCAGCCTCTGGTAACCTCTAATCTGTCTAGTATGCTTTCTCTCTGAATTTACCTACTAAGTACATTTCAGAAAAGTTTTCAAGGTTCATCCATTTAACAGCATGTATCAGAATTAATTCCATTTATGGCTGAAGTAGTATTTACACATCACATGTTTGTCAGCATATGAACACTTGTTATCACTTTTGGCTATTGTTAGTAATGCTGTATGAAATTGGGTACAAGTGTCTGTCTGAGTCCTTAGAATAGTGTTTTGCAAAGTTTAAAATGTGTAGATCCTATATAGGAAAAATTAAGACTTCTGGATTTCAAGTGTTGACAAAAATTATTACTCATTGTAACTGAAGTAGACACAAGAAGTTGAGAATAGCTCATATACCTATAAAAATCAAAATTAAATTTTCAGTTAAAGATAAAACCAAAATCAATACAATTGAAATTAACAATTTGTATAAAATTATATTTACTGAAAGCAAATGGTTTATGTTGGTTTTAATAATGTAAAAATTTTTTGGCATGATGGACCATTATTAATTTAGCTGTCATCATTATTATGTTTCCTTTTTAACAGCAAACTTATTTTTAAATCACTAATACATTATTTTGGTGGACAGTCCATCTACTAGTGTGTCTCAGAATGTAAATCTAGGAAATAATGGAATAATAACACTGTTGCAAACAGACACCTGTAGGTACTTACTATCAGGTACTGACTGCTGGGAGCACAGGTTTTCATCATTCAGTTAACTCCACGCTTGTTTCTGTTGGAGCTTGTCTGAATTGCTAGCATCCTGATATCATTTGACTTTTTTATTTTTTACAAACCCGTCACTTATTGTCTGCCTGTTGATTATTAGCCTATTTCCATGAAACTAGTACAGCACTCTAAAGTATTGTGTTGTTTTCATGTTGTTAAATCAGATTCTGAGTTCATTAAATAAAAACCTAAATCCTTATTCCAGGAAAATGTCCTTTACTTTCAAAGTACACTGCAAAAGGGTAGTCTTGTGTTCATACTTACCAACTTCTAAAAGGAATAAACACTATCTTCCTCAAGGTATTGCTTGGCAAAACCTTAAATATAAACATGAAAATAAGCTGGAACACTAAAAGTCTCCTGATTTATAAAGTGGTCATCCAAGGATTAAAAATATTCCCATATTTGTTCATTACTGACACAGAAATTTTTAATGGTCACAGAATTCAGATACCCCAAAGAATATACCAAAGGGTAGTAGTTTCTAGTTTGACAAATACCAATCCAGACATAACTCTACTGCTTTTCTCACATTGCATTCTAATGCTTTATTCCCAAAGTGTTGATCTGCCACTGAAAATAGGGTAGCTTGTGATTTCCAAACTTTGTGTGAATTCTTTTTTTTTAATTTATTTTATTTTTTAAATACATGACAGTGGAATGCATTATAATTCTTACTACATATATAGAGCATGATTTTTCATATCTTTGTATATAAAGTATGTTCATGCCAATTCATGTCTTTATACATGTACTTTTTTTGCATTACAATTCTTATTACACATATATACCACAATTTTTTATATCTCTGTATATAAAGTATGTTGACAGCCAATTCGTGTCTTCATACATGTACTTTGGATAATGATGTCCATCACATTCCACCATCCTTGAAATCCTGTATCATTTCATAATGAGAATTTAGAATTGCCATGTAGATGAATAGTTGTGATGCCCAAGTAAGGCATTTTTTTCCTAATTGGGAAGTATGTGAGGGTGGTTCTTGGTAAACACAGAGGCTCTGCACCTAGTAGGCACTTGATGGGTGCTAAGGAATTGTTTGTCTAAGCAATGATAGCCCCCTTCAACACAAAAGAAAAACACTGTCAGCTCAGCCTTGATAAGTGTCTTATCTAATCAATGATAATTTTCCTTTCTCTATTCCATATTAACCCCCTGCCATTCCTCAAACCTGTTTTCTACCTATTTGTATTACCCTCAAAAACAGTTTCACAGATTATGGGTTTTTTTCAAATATTTATATTTTAGTTGGACACAATACCTTTATTTTATTTATTTATTTTTATGTGGTGCTGAGGATCGAACCCAGGGCCTCCGCACGTGCTAGGCAAGCGCTCTACCACTGAGCCACAATCCCAACCCCAGATTATGTTTTTAATGAAATCTCAACTCTTACCCTATAAAAAATATATTAATTCATATGTGCAGATTCCCAAAGGGCAGGTCCCATTCTTCTTCCTCTTTCTCCCTGTCCTCTTCCTCTTCCTTCTTTAAAAAAATTGTTTTTATTGGTAGTACTGGAAATTGAACCCAGGGCCTCACACCTGTTAGGCAAGCATCTGGGTTCCCCCTTCTGACCAGGGCTTCTCCATGTTTTTTTTGGTGGGGTAGTGGTACTGAGGATTGAGCTTGGAGGACTCAACCAATGAACCACATTCCCAGCACCCACTGCTTTGTGTTTAAATTTTGAGACAGGGTCTCACTGAGTTGCTTGGCGCCTTGCTTTTGCTGAGGCTGGCTTTGAACTTGCAATTCTCCTGCCTCAGCCTCCTGAGCTGCTGGGATTACAGGTGTGCACCACTTGCCAGTCATCCATTTTTGTTAATGAAGATATTTTTCTTGATGATCCCCTTTCTGGGTGAGATCTTAAAAATCTACTATTTTCTTATTGCTAATAACATAACTTTCACTTAAAATATAAAACATTTTTTATATTTAACTCCCATGATTTTATGCTTCATTATATTTATAATTGATTAACTATAGTTTATCTCCATAAAATAATAAAATTTCAATGAATATATATGATTTATCTAGGCAGTATCTAATATTCTATAGACATTGTCAAGTATGCAAGGTGGTATGTCTGTTTTTCTATTTTAACAAGTTTAATAACTATTTTTTGCAATGTCACTCTTCAATGCAGTTTTCTGTATTAATATATTTCAAAGTATACAAACATGGTGTCCTATCAGATCACCGTGAAGGTCAAGAGCCTACCTTTTATTTTTACAGTAACTTGCATACAAAAAAGAACAATACTATATCTGGAATAAATTATTAGGTAATAATATAAATGGGTATTACCTGAATCTCTTCCATTAATATTTGAAAATCTCTACCTTAATTTTGACTCATACTATCAACAGAAGTTTAGACTTGCTGTGGCCTCCCAAAAGAGATATTATGCAGAAGAAAATATATATTTTGTTATTAGGAGAAGGGCTTTAACTATATGGCATCTACCTCTTGAGTCACCCTCCTCACTGTCAGTCATGCAGATTTTCTAGTACCCACCTCTTTGGTTGCCTCTTCAGCCTCATTTCCTTTTTAAATTTTCATAAAGCTTCAAAAGAAATTTTTTAACTTTCAAGTATTTCACTAAAGACTATTTTCTCAGCATCACATATTGTTGTATATCTCTGTAAATGTAAGTAAATAAAATTGAGTAGGAATCCTATTTTATTAGGCTATTATAAATGGAATTTTATATAATTTTGCATTTGATTTTTGTACAGGCAGAAATACTGAGTGTCCTCAGTCACAGAAACATCATCCAGTTTTATGGAGTAATTCTTGAACCTCCCAACTATGGTATCGTCACAGGTAGGAACTCATTATTTGACTTCTTTCTTTCCCTAATTACCTAGCTTTAGATTGCTTAATATGCTAAAATGCTTAATATTAGGTTCACTCATGAATTGTGTACTACTGTCAGATGTCACTTTTGTTGCTATAAAGCATTAATAAATTTGATTATATCAATATAATTAAGAATAGTGTTTCCACTTCTACCCATGTTTAATTGTGCTAATTATATCTGCGTAAATGCTATTTAAATGCACTCGCAGCTGCAATGCCAATACTTAAAGGTGCCGTTTAACTAAAATTTCATTTAATTAGTTGAAATGAGAGATGTTTTTTGTAACTCTGTGACCTTTTATAAATTAAGATTTCTTGAGCTATTCATGCTGTAATTCTTTGCAAGGCATTTTAATCCCATTAGAGCATTTTTTCTTCAAGGTCTCTGACTTGAGAACAGTATTTTTCAGGTTTGGTCATCTGATCTGATAATGACCTTGAACCAAATTATCACTTAATTTGCAGCAGTGATTTTTTTTAACTGATGGAAATACCCTTTTCAAAAATGAGCACATAGAATATTTTGTAATGTGAAACAGAAAGACCTATTTTTAATATTCTGTGATTATATTTGTACAATCCAATGGGAAGCTTTAGGTCTACAGTAACTATAAGTTCAATTTTAAAGTAAGTAACTTTGGTCAGTTCTTTATCATGGCACTTCTTTGATTAAAAGCAAACCAAAAAAAAAAAAAAAACCTCTGAAAGAATAGCTCTATTTTCTTCCACCACAGTAGTAAGAGCCTGGATTGTCTTTAAAGAAAATAGCAATAAAACACCCTCATTAAACAAATAATTATGTTAGGTACTTTCTTATAGATTATCTTACCTAATGCTTACAATAACTCTTTGAGTAAGGTGAAATAATTTCTATTTTACAAGTAAGAAACTAAAATTCTAATCAAAGTGACTTTCCCAGAGTCCTCCAGCGAGTGGTAGAAACAGAGGGGTTCACATTTCCCAGACTAAGTTTTCTTGAAGCTCCTTTTGAATGCAAGCCAGGTTCTGGAAGGCTATGAGCTTACTTGTTCTTCAATTCACAGGGACATGTTTGCTATTACTTCGGTCTTCTGACGATATGTAGTTTAACATGCTTTTGCTCTTTAGTAGCATTTTTACATAGGTTCTTAGCTGGAGGGACTTTTAGCCCAAATTGCTACCTTTAGGCTTGTATCAGAAATGGGATATGCTGCAATTTTCCTCTTGAGCCTGTGTTTCTTATTAACATTGATACCTCCAGTTGTGTTTGGTGTTAGGGATAAATCATATCTAACCTTTTGTATCAGTTTTCTGACTTAGAATTAGACCTTTTCCTAACTCAATTATCTTATGGCACCTTTTCCCCAAATTCATTTTTTTTTTTATTTTTATACATGTGAATCTAGTTTTCTGATCCTCATTGGTGGCTGATGCTATTCTTGCCTAGTAGAGGCTATTTCTGTCTACCAAAAAGATTAGAAACTCTGCTGTTTCTATTGTACCCTTGATGTATAATGCTTTGGAGAAGATTTTAGCCTAAGTAGGTCAATGGGCTATTCATGGAGTTTTCTAGTATCTTGAGGTGAGGATGAATTGTAGAAATGGGAACTTGAGTCAGGGTGCAGGTTCTTTTCTTACTGTCAGTTCCAAGGAAGATGTGAACAAATTCATTCTTGGCCAGCATATTCAATCTGAATTACCTCATTCAAAGGAGGGAACTGAGTGATAAGTTTGATTTTATTTAGTATTTGTATCAAATTAGCTAGTCATTTATTTCATGCATCCTTTTAGCATTTCCTACCCAAATTCTTTGCTTAAATTGATTAGTTCTTGATGGATCTGTTTCCCTCCAGAGCCAGTAAGTAAGCAACTGTTAACATTAAACATTTCTTTAAAATAACATTTCAGAATTGTAGCATAATAACAAATTGTATACTTATTGCTCTCTTATTTACCTGTTAAAGTTGATTATTAAAGAGATCTATTAGAGAAGTTTCAGTGCTCTTAAATGTATTAATTTGGTGATTGTTGTTTTTGCTAGAGATTTAGTTTTAACTCAGTGTTTATTTATTCAAACCTTTTCAGTCAACCTTGTGCAGCATTAGGATAAAGCTATGCTCTGTACATGGATAGCAGTACATATACCAACTAAGCCAAGTTTTGGGGTAAAATAATCCAATGGATTAGGGATGATAGCACTTACCCTGCCTCTTGAAATGAATACAAGTCTTAGTGTGAAGACGTGAAGGGAAAAATAAAGATAGGCAGCCAACAGACTTTGCTCATCCAGACTAGCTAGGTAGCCCTCTGTGAATCTTGTCATCTGTATCAGATGTTGTGGACTCCAAAAGAGGATGTTTGAATGGCTTTTGAGTTTGTATAACTTGGAGTTTTTTGTTAATAGAAAATGTTGTTGCAGCCAGCAACTATTGTCAGTCATACTGAGGGCTTGATAGAATGATTTATCAGAGTAATGGAATGGAATGAGTGCTGAAATGGGAATTAGAAGATCTGAGATCTTGTCTTGACTCTGCCAAAGCTTCGTAGATGGGTCACTGAGGATCTCTGTATATCTCGGTTTTCTCATGTAAATGAAGGTATAAAAAGAGAGGATCTCTGAGAGAGAGTGTATGTGCACATTTATGCATGTGTGCTTGCTGAAACTTTTCATTACAGACTTATAAAACCTGATTATAAGGAGGCCTGGTAAAATGTCTAAGAAGCAGCTGCTAATTTATTTCCCTTAGAAGGGATGACCGTCATTCCCCTACAGTAACAAAGAAATGGAATAAGCAGAAACTCCAAAGTCAAGAGATAAGATAAAATAATGGGCTGTCTTTTCTTCGATCTTTGGAAACGGCTCAGTTCTGTACTAGTCTCATTCTTTAATATACATGCATACATACTATCATAAATACTTCCCTATGAGAGGGAGAAAGGAGTTGTTAGATACTAGATCATGTAGCCCTTTTGTTGCATGCGGAATGGGAGGGGAACCCCAACTCAAAGTACCTGATATTCCAAGTGTAAAAAAGGGCTGCCAGACTGGGTCTCATGGTTTCAGGGAAAGCAATTTGGGATTCCAGAGACCTAAGGGGCTGCATCTTTGTTCTCAGGGGCTGATAGCACCCCTTGTTTGTCACCTATTCCATATTGCCATTTTTTTGGTTTTGTTTTTGTTTTTCTTGTAGTGCTAGAGATTAAACCCAGGGCCTCATGCATGCCAGACAAGCCCTCTACCACTGAGCCACATCTCCAGCCCCTCTGTGTTACCTTTTACCACTACACTAAGAGAGGATACTAATTCTGCATGATTTGTCAGCAAGCCCAAGTTCTCATTAAATTTGACCATGGAAAGCATACAAATTTAAGTGCCCAATCTCATTTCCTTTAACTTTATATTGATTTATTTTAAGCACAGACACATTTAATTTGCATTTTGATATTGTGCTGATCTTTTTAGCCAATTAAAGACATGTCAGTTTTTATTATAGCAGTTTGCAGACATTTGCCCAAATTCATTTGTTCTGCTGTTTATGATCCAAACTAAGTTTGGTCTTGGTGATATTTTATTATAAAGAGATTTCATGATAATGGTATTTGATTCAACAGTACTCAATATGTTTGGCTTTCTGTATCTGAATATTCCCCATTCATGAAACCAACAGAGGGTCAAAAATATTTTTTAAATAATAATAAAACAATACAAATAAATAAATAATACAACTATTCACATAGTTTCTACATTGTATTAGGCATTATAAATAATTTAGAGCTGAATTAAAGTATGGATGCCCCTCCTCTAGTGTTGGGATTTTGTCCTGATAAACCCTCCATTAAGTTGAAAATACCCTAAGTTGAAAATACATGTAATGCACCTAACCTACTGAACATCTGAGCTTAGCAACGCAGTGCGCATGGAGTATCGATTGTTTTCCTCTTGTAATCTTGTGATCTTATGACTGGGAACTATGGCTTGCTATTCCTGCTCAGCAAGAAAGTAGATAAATTATTGTTCTGCGTATTACTGACCTGGGAAAAGGTCAAAACTCACAGTATGTTTTCTATTGAATGTATATCACTTTTACACCATTATAAAGTTGAAAAATTATAAGCTGAACTATTCTAAGTAGGGGACCATAGTATATGGGAAGATTACCTATGTTATATGCAAATAATATGTCATTTAAAAAAATTTTTTTAGTTGTAAAATACCTTTATTTTATTTATTTTTATGTGGTGCTGAGGATCGAACCCAGTGCCTCACACATGAGTGTTCTACCACTGAGCCACAACCCCAGCCCCAATATATCATTTTATATAAAACGTGCATCCAGGAATTTTAGTATCCTGGTGGGGAGGATCTTATCTTCATTAACTATCAAAATAAGACTGGTGGTAATAGTGTAGTAAACCTGATAATTTCAAGTTGTTTTCTCAACTATTATCTATGAGATGAAATGGGTTAATTTTTAATTGGTGACTCAGTGAAATAATAAATTGTTTAGTTCATCATTAGAATAACTTTTAAAGTTATTTTACATGGTTTTCAGAGTATATGACCTTCACTACAGTCTAATATGTTTGAAATATAGTTGTTTTTGGATCTCTGACTGTTAATATCTGTAAATTTATCCTAAGCTACAAGTACCCAAAGGCACAGAATTAGGGTTGTTGGATATTTTAGTCCCATAAGATATAATAACCCTGACTCGTTTATTTTTTCTTTTTTTAGTACCAGAGTTTGAACTCAGGGGCACTGAACCAGTGAGCCACATCCCCAGTCCTTTTTTGTATTTTATTTTGAGACAAGGTCTCCCTAAGTTCCTGAGGCTAGCTTTGAACTCACAATCCTCCTGCCTCAGCTTCCTGAGCCACCGGGATTACAAGTGTTCACCACTGTGCCTGGCTGACTCATTGCTTTGTAAAGTTGTTTGTAGAAAACTTACTTTTAATAACTTCCTGAAGTCATAATTCAGACTTCATAGTTCCAGACATTTCTTAATATGTGTTAAGCTTTGTACCTCTAGTTCTCCTTCTTCCCCTCTTTCTCCCTAACACATATAGAGCACAGCATCCAACAAAGAATACATATTTTTTAAGTACACATAGAACATTCTCCAGAACGTATCCTAAGGCCATGAATAAGTTTCAGTGTATCTTAAAGAATTGATATTGTACAATGTATGTTTTCAAACCACAGTGGAATTATGTTAGAATTCAACAATAGAAAATATGAAAATATGAAAGAAATATGGAAAATTTCCAAATATCGGAAATTAAACAACATGTTTCTAAATACCCCTGGGACAAAAATGGGATATTGATCCTGAAAAAAAATTTGAATGGGTTTTAAAATGTTTCAAGTTGAAAGATTATAGAATGCAATTGGAGCAGTATTTACAGGGAAATTTATAGTTCTCAGTTTTAGTATTGATAAACGAAGTTTCTTCAACCTGAAGAAACTACAAGAACAAAGTAGAACTAAAGTAAGCCAATGAAGGGAACAGAACTCAATAAACTAGAAAGCAGAAAAATAATGGAGAAAATTCCATGAAAAAATTTGTTTTAAAAAATCTTTTTATCAATAAAATTGACCTTTGATTAGATTGAACAAGAAAGGACAGAATATACAAATTAGGAAAGTCAGGAATCAAAGAGATGACAGCACTGTGGCTCCTACAGAAGTTTTAAAAGATCATAAGGGAATGTTATGAACAACTTTATATTAACAAATTAGTATTTAGATTCAATGAACAAATTTCCTAAAAAGACCCTAGGTATCAAAAGTGAACCAAGAATAAAACAATAATAAGCCTATAAGAAAATTTTTTGAATTAGTAATTTAAGATATTTCCATAAAGAAGAGCCCTGGCCCAGATAATTTCACTGGTCAGTTTTAGCAGCTGTTTAGAGAAGAAACAATACCCATCCACACTCTTTCAGGAGACAGAGGCCAATATTCTCTAAGGTCAATATTATCCCTGTACCAAAGCCACATTAAGACATAAGACAACTACATATCCCTTGTATAAATAGATGCAAAAATCCTTAACCGTGTTAACATATCATAAAAAGGACTGAACACCAGAACCAAGTGGAATTTTCCCAGAAATTCAAGGTTGGCTTGACATCTGAAATCATTTAATGTAAGGCACTATAGTCGATAAATATAATAAAAGATAAGATCTTTATATGACTCTTTCAAGACACCGAAAAAGCATATGACAGAGTATTAACACCCATTGATAATGAGACTCTCAACAGACTAAAGTAGAAAGAAATTTCCTTTACCTGATAAATAGCATTTACAGAAATCCACAGCTCGCATCATATTTAATGGCGAAATGCTTGATGTTTTCAAGGAGACTGAGGAAAAAACAACAGGTTTCACTCTCACCGTATCTCTTCAGCATGTACTGAAGGTTCTAGCCGGTCAGATCAGGCAGGAAAAAGAAAGAAATGCATTCAAATCAGAAAGGAAGAAGTAAAACTGTCTTTCTAACATCCTTTCTGTAGAAAATCCCAAGGTATCTACAAAAATAAAAATTTCTAAGTCTAGTATGCATTTTTAGCAAGGTCACAAAGATCCAAGGTCAACATACAAAAATTAGTTTTACTTCTATATACTAGAAATGGAACAAACTAAAAATGAAATTAAGAAACAATTCTGTCATAATAGTTTCAAAACAAATAAAACAGTTGATTATAAATTGAACAAAATAAATGTAAGATTTGTACAATGAAAACTAGGGAACATAACTGAGAAAAAAGAAAATCTAAATAGATATTTCATGTTCATGGTTTAAAAGATTCACTGTTAACAAGATAGCAGTGTTCCCCAGGTGATCCACAAGTTCAGTACAATTCCTGTCTAAATCTCGCATTTATAAAATTTGACAAGACAGTCTTAAAATTTATATGGAAATACAAAAGACCTATAATAAGACGAACCAGTCTTTATAAATTCTTAAGTTTGAGGTGTAAGACTGCTTTATTTCAAAACTTATTTTAAGTCTGCAATAATCAACACAGTGTAATGTTGGCTTAATATATATAGATCAGTGGAACAAAAGCAAGCCTAGGGGAAAAAATATTTGTGCATTGGTTTTCAGCAAAGGGGCCAAGACTATTCAATAAGCAAAAGATGGTCTTTCCAGCAAATTATGCTGAGATGATTAAAAATCCATACATAAACCAAACAAATTTAAATCCTTATCTCATGCCCTAGACAAAAATTAACTCAAAATGCATCATAACCTAAGTATAAGGGCTAAACCTATAAAACTTTTAGAAGAAGAATAGGAGAAACTCTTCATGCCTTTGGATTAGGCAAAGAGTTCTTAGATATGACACCAACAGTACAAGCCCATGAAAGAAAAATCTATAAATAAGAATTTTTACTCTTTGAAAAATCGTGCTCTTAAGAGAATGGAAAGACAAATGACAGATTCAGAAAAGATTTGCAAATCATATATCTAATAAAGGACTTGTATCTAAAATAAAGAACTCTTAGAATTCAATAAAACAACTCAAGAGAAGCCAGGTGAGATGGCGCACACCTGTAATCCCAGAGGCTTGGGAGGCTGAGACAGGAGAATTGCAAGTTCAAAGCCAGCCTCAGCAACCGTGAGGTGCTAAGCAACCAGTCAGTTAGAGACCCTGTCTCTAAATAAAATACAAAATAGGGTTGGGGATGAGGCTAAGTGATTGAGTGCCCCTGAGTTCAATCCCCAGTACCCCCCACCCCAAAATGGGTAAGAGATTTGAATGGATATTTTGCTTAAAAAACAACACACACACACACACACACACACACACACACACACACAAAAGGGGCTCGGGGGTGTAGCTCAGTGGTACAGCATTTGCCTAGTGTATGTGACCAGGGTTCAATTCCCAGTAATGGGAAGGAAAAATAAAGAACATATAAAAATAAAGAACCAAAAAGAAAAGATGTTAACTTCATTAATTACTAGAAAAATGCAAATTAAAACTACTACAAGATACCACTAAAGGTACACCCAATAAAAGTATGCTGCACTTGTTGGTACAAGTGAAGCATAATCATAAAGATAGTACCAAGTATTGACAGAATATGGAGAAACTGAAACCCTCACTTATTGCTTGTTGAAATTGTAAAGCAGTTTCATAGTTTATTAAGATAAACTTACCATATGATCCCTACTCCCAAGAATCTACCTAAGAAATGTACATATTTCCACACACAGACACAAATGTTGAGAGAAGCATTATTCATAATATTAACAAAAAACTGGGAACAACCCAGTTGTCTCTCAACTGGTAAATGAATGCAGTATATCATACCATAGAAGAGTGTTCAGCAATAAAAAGGGATGAAGTATTGATACATGTCACAACACGAATGAACCTTGGAAACTGCTGAGGGAGCAAAGTCAGACACAAAAACCACAATTGGTCTGATTCCATTTATCTGAAATATCCAGAAAATGCACACAGGTAGTGAGAAAAAGCAGACTGTCGGGCTGGGGGTGAGAGTAGTGATTAACTCTAAGCGGCGCGAGGGAATTGTTTAGAATGGCAGAAAGGCTCTGAGACTGGACTGTCATGATTGTTGCCCAACTCTTGACTTTACTAAAAATCATCAAAGTGTGTACTTACAGGCAGTGAATTTTATGGCATGTAATTTATTCTTCAGTAGAGCCATTTTTAAAAGAATCTTCTCACTTTCTTGACCTTCTGTGTTTGTATTTTGAGAGCTCTTCTAAATCCAGATGCAACAAGGATTGGTTTGTTGACAGTTTGTAACATAAACTCTGATTTATTTATTTAATAGTATTTATCTCACCAGAATAACAACTTTTAAAGAAATACCTATTTGCCTGCATGTCTGTGTTTCAAGTACATTTTTCCAACACTTCTTTGTGTTTCTCAGTTCCTTCTAAATGGCTTTTGATTCTCAACTAAAGTTTACTGTTCATTTTGTGTTAGCGGGCTTGTCTTTCACAGATTCCCCCTATCCCCAATGATATTAACTTTTAGAAAACACAGCATAGAATAAATTTTTGTATACTTTGGATGTCTTTTGTTAACTTTGTTTGTTGATGAAAATATAAAGTCTTGTTTCTGAAATGCTCCTTGGTTTTGATTATGTGCTTTTCTTTCCTTTTAAAATAGAATATGCTTCTCTGGGATCACTCTATGATTACATTAATAGTAACAGAAGTGAGGAGATGGACATGGATCACATTATGACCTGGGCCACTGACGTAGCCAAAGGTAACATTGCTTGGTGAATTCTTACAGAATTGGTGGGAGCATTTCCTCACTCTGACATGGGGACTTAAGACAGAAATTTTTTTATTCTGTTTCTTAGATATTCTTTTTTCAGAACAAAAGTAATATAAAAAATTCTGCAATTCACTGTACATATTTTAGGTGACTACCTTTCAACTCCTGAATTCCTTTTCTGTTTTTTCATCATTCATTTCTTTTCCTAAAATAGAGTTCTGCAAAATTAGTAAACTCCAGGGTGAATGTTTTAGTCTTGTTTTGTGACATTGTAATTGACCAGCTGCTTGACACTTTAAGTGGAAAAATTATAATTCTGTTGTCCATGTGAGAGTCTCTCCCTAGTATCTAAAAACATGATTTAGTGTAGGATTAGCTCCACTCATTTTGTATACATAGTAATATACTAAAAATAGTAATGACTCGCCAAAAAAGTTTTCTCTTGCCATGTAAGAGCAACTCAGATTTTATTTTATAGTCAGTGTAAACTTGGATATCACCTTTGGAAATAAAATAGTTTTAATATGCAAAATCCCTAAACAAGGTGTCTACTCCCCCACCACCTACCATAAATTCCTACAGGGACTAATGCTTTCTTAAGCAATTCAGATTCCATTTATTTTTATCTTTTTTTTCCATTTTTCGAACTGAACATTTTTAGTTTCATTTGTAACTGTCAGAGTTACTTTGGAAACAACATAATCTAAGTAATGAATGCTGGTAGTTACATTTGTATTCTGGTAACCTCTAGGAAGCAAGTGTGTCCGCATTTTACTGGAGGCACTTAACTCCTTTGCATCTTGCTACTCTATTCTCTAGAAACATCTCTTTACAAAGCAAATGTAAAGAGAACTGCTCATACTTTGCTTTCAATGCAAGGTCACCCAATGACTTAGGAAAGCAGTAGTCTGTCCTTCTGGGAATTATCTTAACTGAAGTTTTATGCATACCTGTCAAATTCTTCAAATATGGAGAGTTAAAATTTTTCTTAAGGTTTCGTGCTAGATTCTGCTACTAAATGATGTTTTATTACCTTATAAGAATAACAAGCTCTGTGTTTCGGATGAACTACGTAAAGCTTGGGTATATTAATGAACTTAATTGTGTATTCATGCATCAAACATCTCAAATCAATCTTGAAATTTCACATTAAGATGTTTTCATGTGGGCTGGAGTTGTAGCTCAGTGGTAGAGCACTTGCCCAGCATGCATGAGGCACTGGGTTTGATTCATGACACCACATATAAATAACTAAAATAAAGGCCCACTGACAACTAAAAAATATTTTTTAAAAAAAGATATTTTCATGTAACATCACAGTCACTTCTCTGCATGTCAGAGGTATAGGAACCACTTGTGTGTAAGCAAGATTATGTGTTGCCTGCAGTATTATGGAAATATATTTACACAAATGGAAATGCACACATGGCTCTTCTTGACACTTAACCTTATAGATATTTATATTTAAGGTGCTTGGCCAATTACATCCATGTTATTACTTCATGGCGCTTAGCATGGATAGACAACAATGACAGAATGACATCAGCATTCTGCTTCAAGTTGTCCCTAGTAGCCTATAACACACACACACACACACACACATACACACACACACCCGCCCCACCCCACCCCTACCACATCATTTGTATCTGGGGCAAGTCTCTTGGTTCTAGCACAGCTGTGACCTTCTGGAGTTTTTCAAGAGTTCCTGACTAGCATTAGAAGGTCAGGAAAGAACAGAACAGAATAAAGTAGCAAAGCAGAACCTGAGGTAAAGGGTAGGAAAGGAGGGGGGAAGTAGACACCCTGAACAGAGTCCAAATCTATGAAGTAATAAAATCCCTTTGCCAGATTGGTGAATTGGTCCGAAAGGCAAGCACTAATGTATCTGGCCTCAGCTGAGGATGTCTTTACCTATTTATAATTACAATTTTTTAACTTTAAAAGATCCTTTTAGATGGCCTATAAAAAGGAAAAAGAAACAATTCTTTAGGAATAACTTCAAACCTCTCTAGAAAGCTAGTAGAACTTGGAGATTAAATAGGAAAGCTTGACCTTGTTGATTCTGTTCAAGTTCAGCGAGGCACCTCTCAGTTTTAACTGTGATTTGAAGTTACTGAAACAACTATATGTTGAGAAATCAGAGACTGAATAATTCATTCCATTAATGAGAGTGGACCTGTGCATTTTGAAGTAGGCATTGCTCACCATCATTGCTGTTGAAAGAGTTACGTCCTCAAAGCTAAAAAAGATTCACTTGTTTCTGGATGGGAAGAGGAATGGGAGTTGAAGCAGTCCATCTGAAATTGTCACAAGTCAGTCAACAGTGCATAAAGGAACAATTAAGCAGATCAACTTGGATCCAGCCTCGAAATGTCACCATTAATTCCAAATCCTCCCCAAAAGTCTTCTCAATGACACCATCAGATTTTTTTTTTCTTTTAGGAAACCCTGAATATTAAGCCTGATTGACATATTTTTCAACCTTCTAAATGAAGCTGAATTATAGTTGATTTTATAAAAACAAATTAAATAGAATTTTATATGATTATGATTACTATATAGTAATATGTACACTAAATATTATTTAAGTATATTCCATACATTGCACACAAATAATTTATGGTACTTTTTAATAATAATCTGCCATGAGGAAGAAATTGCCTGTATTTTAAGCTTTTATACTTGAAACTGTCTTTGTTTCTAATAGTAATTAAACAGATTTTACCTGAAAAAATTTCAGGGATTTGTTTCTAAATCAAGAGAGAAGTAGCTATGAAATTGGATCATAAAATTATTAAATGTTACTCATGTTGTAACTATTAAATTTTTATAGTTTGAAGTATGTAGAACTTCATATTAAAATAGATTCCCTTTGTCCCAATTGCTTCTTTCTTAAGAACATTTAATTTCTAATACTTTTGTTAACTTCCCTCTTTTCAGTGATATCATTATATGAAGTTTACACTTTTTCTTATTTTCTGTGTTCGTTCTTTTCATGTTTCTTCAATATATAATAATCATAATAGTAGCAGAATAATAGATTATTAATAAATTAACCTTTATAAGATTGAAATATTCTATATACTTTTAAAAATGAAAGCCTAATTATTAAATTGTTTTCAATGGATAGTTCATTAACAAAAGGAACCTGTTTGATTTGGCAGTGGAAGGGGCAATTTTCTCCATTATTTAGAACAGAGAACTGGAGAAATAAATACTCAGTAGAAAATATTTTTTTCCTAAAAGTGTAGCTAATATATACTTATGAAAAGAGTCAAACACTACTAAGGAGGTTACCACAAAAAATTATCTTTTAAAAAGTCTAATTTTTTATTCAGAATAATGAATGCATTTAGTTTATACTTATGTATCTTGATTCATATTATAAATATGTTGGAGAGAATTTTGTAGTATGTTTAAATAAAGATTATTTCAAAGATTTATCCTGGTGAAAATATTTTAGTTTACAAAATAAAATATTTTGTAACTACTATATATTTTTCTATCTTAAGATCATAAAATCCTTTACCGGTCATAACTCAGCAGTCCTCCCGGCTCCCACTCCTGCCCTATCTTCATTCCCAGGTCTTATTAGAATGAGTACTGAGAAAAATAAACCAGCTGGGTAACTGCAAACCTGCAGATATCCATATACAAATGGGAAACAACTTTAGCGGGTGCAGAAGGCAGTTGGTAGTAGGATACCTAGTCATGGAGCACTTTTTCCAGTGATTCCCATGCTATATTCATACAAATTCCAGAAAGCTAAGGTGTCCTTACTAGGTATTGTAAGAAGCTAGCTGTACCAATCAAATTCCAACCTCTAAGAGATTAAGACATAAATCTTGCTTAAATAAATGTTACTAATGTAGACATAGCCTATTTCTGTTTTATCAATCCTGGAAGAATAGAGCATGTGGATTTAGTTTCTGCTATTGAATTCTTTGTGAAAATATGCATGGTAATACTGATGCAGTATTGAAAAATATTAATAGTCTTTTTTCTTTCTTGTATGAAAAGGAATGCACTATTTACATATGGAGGCCCCTGTTAAGGTGATTCACAGAGATCTCAAGTCAAGAAATGGTAATGTAGTGATATGTTTTTTTTACACATTACAGATTACATGCACCTGTGTATAGAAATAAGGATCATGCTTTATTTATCCTTTGTGACCTGATGTTTGACTCACTACTGATACCATGAAAATTTTCCACTGTTAATAAATATCAAAATTCTCTATATTGTTTGAGGAAGCTGCATAATGTTCCACTGTATGAATATAGCACAGAATGTGGACAATTTGGATTGTTTACATTTTTTCCTATGATAAGAAATGTTTGGTTTAATACCTTCCAGCCAAATTTTTCAACACATCCCTAATTTTTCCTTGGAGTCATTTCCTAAAAGAGGTATTGCTGGGTCAAAGTGTGTAGTCATGTATTTTTAGTTTTCTATGTTTACATGGTTCTCTGTACTAGCATTTTTGAGTTTCATTTCTGTTACTTCTTCATTATATGGTATAAATTTTTATGTCATCCTTGCCCATATTACCTGGAATAGTGCCCAAAAATGATCAGTATGCTTAGGAGTTTGGAAATAAAGGCCTTTTTTCTTTTCCTTCTCTACTTTTGTACTTTCTATAGTCTATTTATGATTCTTTGTTTTATATTTTGGAGAGTGAACATTTTAAAATAACTTGCAGTTAGACATTACCTTCAAGTAGGAATAGTAACAGTGCTTCTTCCATTACATCACTTCAAAGTTATGGGAGAAAGGCAGTAAGATTATTTAGCTAAAGCAGAACTAGCTCAAGCAAACATCAAAGTTTGCTACTTTAAAGAAAAAAATCTCGCTATCAATTACTTTTTTTTATTATTTCCAAGCAACTTGCAGTAAGGAGGAGAATTATTTATTTTAAGAAAATCTTTAGGTCAGTGTTGCAAAAAGGGGTGTTTGATAGTAGTGTGCTTCTTAGAATGGGTAGCTATAGCAAGTAGAGGAGGAGGACCAGGGAATGAGCAAGGTATGCTTGCTCATACTTAGGACTGTGAGGTCTGACTGGGAGGGGTGGGAGAGATGGGGAGGAAGGAAAGTTATTGGCAGCTGCCCCTCTTCAGGAGCCCAGGTTGGACCCCCAACCTAGTCGAGATGACTCTGCCTGACTATCTTGCCCTCTTTAAGTCATCACTTATCCTTTGGCTCATCTTAGAAGCTTCCTGGAACTAAACATTCTTGATATAGATGACTAATAGGAAATCATTAGAACATAATCTAGAATCTATTAGGAAGTATCAGAGTTCTATGTCTGGAAATTTTCAGTTCATGCTCAGAATTTCAATTTAAACAAGTTATTTGATTTCAGTAGATTCTAAATCTTCCACAAAAGAACAAATTAACTAATTTGTGGGTTTATCTATTCTATCAATATGAAGACCATATAATAATGGAGAATTTTACTTTACCATTTAAAAAAATTATAATCTGTACAGTTACTTGATAGGAGCATAAAACTCAAATTGAAAAAATAAAGACTCAATTTTTTGCATTTTTTCCCCCGGAGAAAAGGAACAAGAATTCCAGTTTCTATGTTATACATTTTTATAATGTTATTTTTAAAAGTATTTGTTAATCTTACAATAAGAGAAAGCACTAGAGATTTTCAAAAACAATTGAATGTAATATTAGCAGTATTTACATTTCTATTTGCAAAAGTTTGTAGCAAACGTCTAACACCATGTTTACCCCAAGGCTATTTCTACATATGAGGTCATGCAAAGATTATTTTCTCCATTTATCAAAATCATTAGTAGCAGCTAATAAAAACCTGTACTGATTATCTACCATGTTCAGGCAATGCGTGGCTTACAAAAGAAATACCAGAAGCAGTGCTTCAGGATTCTGTCCTTGGCCTTCTCTCCTCTTATGGTCTTATCCTCCCACTCCCACTTACACCTTAATATTCCCATGTAGGTCTCAATTTCAAAACTATCTATCTGCTTATTAGACATGTGTGTATATATTTTACATGACCCTAAAATGAATTTTGTCCAAATTAATCTTTTCATCTTCTCCTTCAATCCTAAAAGACCATTCCTGCATCCCTCTGCCAGTGACTGGCAGTACAGTTGCCCAAGACAGAGATTAAATAAAACAGAATTAACCATTTAAATCCAGAGCTCATGTTCTAACCATTAAGCTGTTTCACTCCTTATCTGCTTTCATCCTTGAAACCTCATCCCCAATATCCAGCTATTCATCCAGCCTCACTGATCCTGTCTCCTGAGTATTTTTTCTCTCCCACCCTTTTTCTTTTTACTTTTTAAAATTAGAGCATTCTAGTTTAACATAATAGCTAGGTTTATCCCTACAAACCAAACATGCATGGAATTCGATTATAGTTCATATTCTCCCCCTTTCCCTTTCTCCTTCCTCTCCCCATTCTCCTTCCTTGACTGTACTTGATCCTCCTTTTACTCATCTATTAATTTATTTTGATTGATTCTTTCTACTTATACCTAAAGGTGAAATTAATGAAATTATGGTATTTGCTGATAAATGAATGAAAATGGAGAACATTGTGTTAAGTGAAATATGCTAGTCTCAGAAAATCAAAGTTGAATCAAGGGTCATATCTCTCAATGTGGAACCTTGAGCAAAATAAGGGAAAGAAGGAGGGGGGAGGAGGATCAGCCACCATAAAGATACAGGAAAGATCAGTAGTGTAGAAGAAGGAGATCTTGAGGGAGGAAGGAGGGATGGAAAAGGAGGAGAAATGCAGAATGAATTTTTAAAAATCATTGTATGTGTATGTATAAATACACCGCAGGGAATTTCACCCTTGTGTCCTGAGTATTTCTCGACTCACTATTTCTTTCCTGTCCTTTTTCACAGCACTAGTACTGTCATCCTCATCTGTCTCTTGGGCCACAACCTCTTGCATGCACAGCTCCCTCTTTGTCTCTTTTTCTCTTCTATAACATGGTCTGCTTCCTGCACATTTGCTCATTTCCTTTCTTCATGAAAATTGTTGGTTGACTTTCCATTTCTCACAAGGGCTCTTCTTTACTTGACCCTGCCTCCCAAAATTCTCGTGCCTTGTCTTCTGCTCCTGAGGTTTTGCATAGATTCTCTTTCTGCCCAGAAAACTACTTTCCTCCTCCAGCACGCCTCATTTCTAGTTAGCCCCTACATTTTTAGGTCTTTGTATAAGCATCATTTCTTCCTGAAAACTTCATCTGACCTCTGAAGACTTGGATATCCCTGTGGGTTGGGTCCATAATACTCTCATTCTCTCTCATTGTGGAATTTTTTTTCACTTTATTGTTGATGTTTAATTTTCTCTCTGATCAGACCATAAACTCCACCAGAGCCAAGACAGTGCCAGTCTCATTCACCTTCTGTATAAAGCATATACATGGCTGTTGCCAGAGTAGATATTCAGCAAATAGTTGTTAAATGAGTGAATGAATGTATGAATAAGGAAATAAATTAACATTGTCTCTGCATTTAAGAATATTATTTTGAGGGGCCAGGGTTGTGACTCAGTGGTAGAGCACTTGCCTCGTACGAGTAGGGAGCTGGGTTCGATCCTCAACACCACATAAAAATAAACAGACAAAATAAAGGTATTTGTCCATCTACAACTAAAAATTTCTTTAAATTTTTTAAAAAGAATATTATTTTTCAAATTACAAATGGTCAACAAATATATGAAAAAATGTTCAATATCCTTAGCAAACAGGGAGTTGTAAATCAAAACTACACTGAAATTTCATCTCACCCCACTCAGAACAGCAATTATCAAGAATACAAATAACAATAATTGCTGGTGAGGATATGGGGAAGAAGGTACACTTATACATTGTTAGTGGGACTGCAAATTAGTACAACCACTTTGGAAAGCAGTATGGAAATTTCTCAGAAGAATAGTGATGGAACCATCATATGACCCAACTATCCTACTCCATAATTTTTATCCAAAAGATTAAAAAAATCAGCATACTGTAGTGATACATGTATATCAGTATTTATAGCAGTACAGTCCACAATAGCTAAGTTATGGAATCAGCCTAGGTACTCATTGATAGATGAATGAATAAAGAAAATGTGGTACATATACAATGGAGTTCTACTCAGCCGTAAGAAGAATGAAATTATGTCATTTACTTGTAAATGGATAGAACAGAACATCATGCTAAGTGAAATATGCCAAACTCAGAAAGTCAAGGGTCAGATGTTTTCTCTATATGCAGAAGCTAAAGAGAAAAAAGTAATAAACAAAAGGTATCTTGCAAAAATACAAAGGAGAACAGTAGAGTAGAAACAGGGGGCTGAGGGAGGAGGAAAGGCAAAGGGGACGAACTGGGGAATAAAGTTGACTAAGTTATGCCATGTGCACGTGTGAGTATATCACAATGCATTCCAATTATATATAACTACCAGTAAAAATAAATAGAAAGAAGATCAGTAGAATAGAGGGGGATTGGGGGAAGAGGGGAGAATGGGTCAGTACTGCGGATTGAAATTTGGAAAACTATGTACTATGCATTTGTGAATATGTCAAAGTAAATCCCACCATCATATATTACTACAATGCACTATAAAAAGAAACTAAAAAGAAAAAGAAAAGAAAATTATTCTTCAGTTGGGAGAAAGAACTATATATACCATAAAGTAATGATGCTAATGATTTCCTCAGTATCATATTGGCATTCTACCAGCAAAACCCAGGTAAAAATTTGGTTCTCCTAACTACTCTAATTTGGTGCCTTTTTTACTGGACAGTACTGCATTTGTTTATATCAAGTGTCTTAAAAGCCTTTTAAGTCAGTACCTCATGGAATTAAGCTTTTATTTTAATGTCAGATCTCTTTTGCAAAATCTTTAATACGGTAAATATTTTGATTTTTGTCTTTTATAATATCAAATTAGAAATTTAACATATTGAAGCTAGAAATAGAAGGTTATGCTTTTTTCAGTATAAGACAATTTAATAGATGATTGTCATACTTTATCTTTTTTTTTTTTTAGTTGTTATAGCTGCTGATGGAGTATTGAAGGTATGACTCTCTTTTAATTAAAAAAAAAAAAAAGATTTTTTTTAACGTCTGATAATTCTCTTATTAGTCACTAAGTACAAAGTTGATCCTGGTTTCTCTGTTCTCAGATCTGCGATTTTGGTGCCTCTCGGTTCCATAACCATACAACACACATGTCCTTGGTGGGAACTTTCCCATGGATGGCACCAGAAGTTATCCAAAGTCTACCTGTGTCTGAAACGTGTGACACTTATTCCTATGGTGTGGTGAGTTCACTTCTTGTTTCTTGTTTGCTAAAGGAAATGCAGAAACAAAACAGCCTAGAGAAGAGAGACTTCATAATTGAACCTGGTGTTGAGTGTACAGCTGTTTTTGGAGGAATGTCTAAAGCTGAGGCATGGGGAGAACACGTCCCAGTTGTTGAAATTTGTGCTTTTATCACTTTTATGCATCTGAGTTATTTATACTGTGTTGAGACAAAAGCAGTACCACTTCCAAGAAACAGAACCTGAGTTAGCCTAAGGCTCTCCTGCAGAGTACTTTTTTGCTAGGTGAAAATACAACCAGAGACTATCTCTGGAATTCAGGGGAAATGTGGATCATTTGGAATAGGACTTCCGTATGATAGATTTCTCAAGCAATATAAAACCTAACAATAGACATGCCAAGTGAGTTAATTAATAGGAAACTTTTGAGTGTCAACTATTAAAGTGATTAGTGAGTTTCTAAAAGTACAAAAGAAAATGTACTTGGCACTTAGCAGATGTCTACTGCAAGTGACAGAGTAGTAGTGACCATCTGGAACAAGAATCTGAGGTATTACAGGAGAATGACAACAGAGCATCAAAGAAGAATGGAATCCTGTGGAAGTGTGGGGAAAGATGCTCAGGGAATAGAGACCACAGGAGGGAGCCAGTTAGGGAGCAGGAACTTATGCAGGAGTGAGGAGATGGATCATCCTGGAAAAAAGCAACCCAAGGTGGGAGCACATCTTGCTGGAGAAAGAATTCATTTGCTGCCTTTCTTTGAGGATGAGTTCTATATTCCTTTTAAAAAATCCAAAACAGTATTTGGAACTCCTTGTCTTTGCATCTCATCTCCTTGTATTCATGCTATGTGTGCTACCTCTCTGTACCATTACTTTTTAAATGGACATTTTCATTATAATAGGAAAAGAAGACCAGTTTGGGCTCAAATCAGCATGCTTTTCTTCCTGAAGTTATGTGTATTCTCACTGAAGGTACTACTAACAGTGTAAGAGGAGGTCAACATGGGCAAACATGTTCCCTTTCTTTAATCAGTCTCTGGGTGTTTACTGCTGGCTTCATTACACTTTGGTCTTTTTCAGTTGGCTAGATCTTTCTAAATCATAACACAGCCTATGTACCAAATTACTTTAATAGAGATGAGTTTTGTTGGCTATTGAAAAAAATCATTTCTGAATGAAATATGTGTTTTGGCTGAAGGCTAGAATTTTAAAGGTTAAACGACAACAGTAACATCAAGCTAAATCTCCAATTCCTCTCTAGTGTTTCTAAGAATGAAAACTATACACTATTATAGATAGTGATGAAATAATTCTCACTGAAAAAAAGGAAAATAAGTAAAATGAAAATTTCAGAGACTGGATTCTAAAATAGGTCTTCTGTGTCAAAGTTTACTACAGTCTAATCATCAGACTTTTTCATCTTATGAGGATTCTGAAAATGGGGATCTGTTCTCTTATGAGGTTATGTTCCTTCATATTTAAGCAAAATTAATGTATTGAGTTAGGCACTGTGCTGACACCAACTTAGGGCAATTTAAATTATATGTGGCCTACTCACTGGTACCAGAACAAAAGGTAACAAAACTTTTCTACAAAGGACCAGGTAGTACATATTTTTGGCTTTGAGAGCCACTCACAGTCTCTGATACATATCCCTCTTTGTGTTTTACAAACCCTTTAAAAATAACAATCCTGCTCATGTTCTTTAAGAGACCATACTTTGCAGGCCCCACTGTGGAACAAGGAGACTTGGAAAAATAAGCAACATAGCTTATCTGCAGCTTGTGCCAGCTGACTGTTCAATAGCAATTCAATAGGTGGGCAGTTTTTACTCCTTTCATGTGCATATAAAAATATAAAAACTTGTATATCTACTGTCATGTATAACTAATTAGAACAAATTAGATATAAAGTTTACTTAATCTATACATACATACAAGATAGTTTAATACCTTTTGTATTTTCTGTGATATCATATTCAAAACTGCTGTTTTGAATTTGAGATTTATGTTCCATTCACTTTTTTTAATATTTATTTTTTAGTTGTAGATAGACACAATACCTTTATTTTATTTATTTATTTTTATGTGGTACTGATGATCAAACCCAGGGCCTCACATGGCTCTACCACTGAGCCACAACCCCAGCCCCCATTCATGTTTTTATAATGACATCTGATGCATAAATACCTACGAAGAATTACGTGAGATATATATATATATATATAAACATAATTTGGTGGTCATGGTTTTTAAATTATTTTGCATAGTTTTATGAATTAAAAGATTTGAGGTTTATTTTCACACTCTACAAGGAATAATAACTGGCTGCCTATGCTTTTACTTTGAAAATTTTCTCCAAGTCTTAGAATTTCCCTGTTAGAAATTTTTGATATAAAGATATAACTGTAAGTTATTCTCATATTATTAGTTATTCTTAATATTATTTCACTTATGAAAACAAACTCCATGCTACCTTCTCTCAAAGTCTTTCAGTTGCCCAGGCCTCTGATGTGAGGTGCACCTATCTGCTCTTCATTAACTGAAGTTAATGACTGGGTTCCAAGAACCAAGAACAAATGCCTTTATGCACATAAGCCATAAAAGTTGTTGAGAGATGACTTTGGTTAGGATCTTTCCTGTGTCTCTACAGTCTCTTTCAAACCTTGACCCCTTCTCTTAAGCACAGTCTGAGTCTGCCTTTCTGCAGCTGCAGGTGTTCAGTTTGTTTTATTGAAAACTTTCACACAGGCAACTGGGCTCTGCTTTCCAGAGGACCTGAGTGGATCTGTTTGTAGATTAGGCCTTCTATTTACTTGTTTACTGACCCTACCATTGGTTGGTTTGATTTGGTTTAACTGAGGAAGGAATTTAACAAATGCTTATCAAGTCATTCTCTAAAGTAGTTTAACTTACTCCAGCCAGCAGAACATTGGGTCGATTGACATTTGTATGCCAGATGTCACTCCACAGAACCTGTTAGTCCCTGCCACGTGACAGTATCAGTATCAATTCACATTCATATTGGAGCCTTCCCTTACCTGGGGGGAACAGAAATGCCTCCTTAGTGACTCTCTTTTAAAACAGCTTCTGTCATTTGTCTTTCTTGAAGTGAGAGAGGTTTGAGTCGGATACTGGTTTGCCTCCTGCAAAGAACTCCCATCAACAGAATTCCATTCAGAAAAATGTGCAAATACTAATTTAATTTTAAACAAGAATTCAAGATTCTGTTTAATTCCGACTCCTTCTCATTCTGTTTGTTCTAAATAACATCATTAGTGAAAGAATAAGTACACACATGCTTTCCCAGAACTCTTTGGTTTAAACAATTGCACAATTTTTTTTTTTTTTTAATGAAGGAAGCATTATGGGTTCAAAGTAGAAATTACATCAAAGAGCAGGAGAGGACAGTTGTTAAGGTTGGGTCCATGTTAGTTTTAGACTTTGGTGGTTTGCAAACCTTGAAAATAGTCCCTATCTAGGAAAACAATGTGATATAGAATTTTTTTGATGTCATTTTAAAAAAGAGGTGCATAACCAAGACTCATTTGTTAGCAGGAGCATCTGTTTGCCTAACACATCCCACAGTTCATTAACAGCTTCTTCTGTTGATTGTAATCTCCCCCTTCTGCACAAGTCACACGCAGATAGATAGGGAAGAGTTGTCCTTATTGAAACCTCAAAAATGCAATGTAGTTTTACTCTTGGTTTTTAAATTTTTTCTACCAGGATTTAGTTCCCTAATAACTCTCAAAAATACTAGTGCTGCCCAGATTGATAAACTTGTGTTATTTCTTAACACATGGCAAAACTAACTAGCCTTGTACTGCCTTAAAACAAATGTGCCCCCAGTGCCAGAAATGGATCTTGTGATCTTTGTCTCTAAGCTGGTAAACATTGCTAGGCAGGCAATTGTTTCTCTTTCCATTGATAAAAGGACATGTTTCTACTCTCTTATGATAACTTCTCTTGAAGGACCAAACCAGAAAGTGTTTGATGTGTAATCCACAAGAAAAAAAAAAAAGCTTCAGAAAAGCATTGGAAGAATAAGCCTTCTGAGAACACAAGGTCTCACCACCCTCTAAAAACAAAGCCATCCTAATGACAATGCAGAAAGGATTAGCTTTCATGAGGCTTCTCAGCCAAAACCAGCTTTAAAAGCAGTAGCTCAAGAGACAGCCTCTCTGCCATGCTTGTCTGTGAGCCCTGTTCCAGAACCAGCCAGGCTCAGGTAATGGCTTTTTATTGTTTGTAAGAGAAAAGGCAGGAGAAGTCCACAGCCTCATCCAAGTTTCTGTTCTGTAAACTGAAAATAGAAATTTTCCTGTGAGCACAGTTGAAGTGTGAGGATGTCCCAATACACAATGAGTTGGAAAATATTTTTAAGGTGAAAGATCACGATAATATTTGGCCTACATTCTCCCAACTGGTATTTTAAGGCATCATTTAATATATTTTTAGACCTCCAAGTGACTTCCTCAGCTTAGTTAGTTTTTTGTGCCAAATGCCATTTTATTGAGTGTAGAAAAAGCCATCCTATCTTATACCACCTGCTTTTTGGTACTTTCCCAAATCTGAAGAATTAATAAAAGGAAATCTTGAAATGTGCTGATACTAGAATCAAACCAAAGACCCTGTCTGGGCTTCACGGCGTGGTGGTTCACAGCAGTTCACTCTGCCATCGCCAGTTTTACACCCATCAAGTGCCTGCCTCCATCAGCTATGGTAGCTCATCTGCGACATCAAGAGAGAGTGAAATGAAATCGCCCTGTTTTTTCAGAGTTAGAGCTCTTAGAGAAGTATAACTTGGATCTTATTAAATTTAGGACATTTCCAGCAGAGTATCTTAAAATAAAGAATGAAGAATAAATAGCATTCTGATATTGTTTTCTCAAACTCCGGTGTTGCACTTCACCTTGCAATATCCAGTTTGTGTGTGTGTGTGCAAACGCGTTTGAGTATACATGTATGAGTATATAAGGTGTGTGTAGGCCAAACTAAGAAAGGAGGAGGTGCAAGACTGCTCATCTGAACATTTTGGGATCTGGAGCAATTGATTTATTTGAGGCTGATTACCTATTCCCATTCTCCTTAGGAATGCCAAATTCATTAACTTACTTGCTCTTCATATCCTTCCCTTCCCATCCCCAACACCAGTGGAGTGGTAACTGTGAATTGAGGGGCTTCATTTCCTGCCAGCCCATTCACTGCCCCACCCCCCTCCCTGGTGCAGATGGAGTGTCGGGGTGATTGCATACCTGTGTGGCTCCCACCCTTCCTTCCTTACAGCCGCCACTAGAATTGTCCCCTTCTGGGATGCCCCTTACCTTTTCCTAATCACTTGTGTGACTCAAATAGAATTATTCAGTAGCTCTTCTAAAGAAGTACCTTATATACTTGATTAAAAGCCCAAAGAGGCTCCAGTGGATTTTTTTCTCTTGCTTGAGCAGCATCTGCCAATTTCCCTGATTTTCCTGCTAATTATCTTCGTATTAGCCAGCATTCGTTTAACATGTTGTGGCTCGAAAGAGACTGAGCACTGGCTGAGGAAATAGTGAACATACAGCTAAAGGTTTATAGGACTTATTCTAATAGAGCACATGTCCATTATCTATATGCTCATTTAAATATTCTCATTTTGTGTTTTGAACAAGGGAAATCTAAACCTAAGCTACTGAGTGCTCTCCTCACTCACTGCTGCCGTGGCTCCGTGACTATAATGTCACTCTAGTGCTGTGGATTCCCCTTCCCTAGAATTACCTGGGATTAGAGTTTGACCTTTAGAGCAAGTTCATATTCTGGCTCTGCCACTTGAAAGCTGAGTGTCTTTGGGCAAGTTTGCTTAACTTTCTAAAGCCTAGTTTCCTCACCTAGAAAATGAGGATAATGTCATTGACATTGATAAAGTTATTATTATTGATAAAATTTGAGTTGTTTGGGCTGGGGTTGTGGCTCAAGTGGTAGAGTGCTCACTTAGCACATGTGAGGCACTGGGTTCGATCCTAAGCACCATATAAAAATAAATAAAGATACTGTATCCACCTAAAACTAAAAAATAAATAAATAAAAAATTTGAGGTTTTTTGTACTTTACAAATATTGGTAGACTCAAATTTTGGATGTACATTTGTTTAAACAGAGAAAATAACTGAGTTTCCAAATCTCCGTTATTCAGTGTTTAGAGAAACCAAAATCAACAGTATTTCTGGTACCAGTTTTCTTTCTCTGGGCAATACAGGTCAGATTTATTAACCATACTGATCTTAAGAATTGTGTAAGGTGAAACACATATAAACTCACATATACACAATCAGCTATTATGTGTCTACAGTGTTTATTACATTTTAGAATATGGTATTGTAAATTATAGGTAGCTAAGAATGGATCCTTTAGACTGCCTCATTTTGAGAGAAAATTGTTCAAAACACAAAATCTAAATGTTATAATTTTGCATATATCTCCCATTGTGGGATAGATAGGTTTGCCAGTGATTTGGATTAGGGGCTCAAGTTTTTTGTTTTTTGTTTTTTAATGAGACCATTATTGAACTTTTAAAAACATAGTTGCATTTCTAGTTTTTATTGTATAGAGAAATGTAGCAGAGATTGAAGGTAGAAAAAATTTTAACTTTTTGTAACAAAACATAAAAATCTAATTTGTGGGAATAGGTGAAAATTCTAGTAACTCATGAGATTAAGTTAAATTACTCAGGCCCATTAATTTAATAAAATTTTAAGTGTGGCTCTAGGTAATCTAACTTCTTGACTAAGTTTGTTTCTATATTTTAAAAAAAGAACATTAAAAGTATATAATATGTGAAAGAAGTCCTATGCATCAATATATATTTTGTCCAAGTTTCTACAGATGGGGTTGGTTGTATCTGGTAATTGGATACAATTAAATATTACGTAAAGTTTCAGTAATATACCAAAAATATAAAGTACAAGAATAAAATTCCGTTTTCTTTTTGTTCCAGGTTCTCTGGGAGATGCTAACAAGGGAGGTCCCCTTTAAAGGTTTGGAAGGATTACAAGTAGCTTGGCTTGTAGTGGAAAAAAACGAGGTAAGACTACGTTTCTCCATTCAGGTACATAGATCAGAAAACAGTATTGGGGTTTTGCAAAAGACTTTTTCATCTTCTTCAAATTGAAAGTAAGTTCACGCTTATGGAAAGATTAGCAGTAGGAGCTAACACAAAGGGTCAAAGTGATGTTATTCCTCATGAATGGACCCTTTACATCTAATTGTTGCAGCTTCACGTCGTGATGCTGTAGATCAAAAATTGTACAAGTACTGTACTAGTTTCTCAGTCTCAATTGTAAAACCTAGGGGTTTGTTCTTAGTGATGAAAGAAGCCATTGCGTCCAAGGTAGGGGAACAGTTTAACTCCATCTCCTGCGTTTAGGACATCTTTTTTACTGGCCGGGAGTTGATATATCTGTAAGAGACCTTCAGCTACTTCAACTTACCTCTCCCAGCAGGAGTCACTATAGTACAAGAAACTGTCGCTTAGATGAGAATTTCAAAAATAAAAGAAGAAAAAATAGTTTCAAAAAAGGGAAAAATTACAGTTTTGCCACCTACGTTGAACACTACATTGAAGATGAGCTCCTCACTGGAATTGGCGAGGCAGTGGCATAACTGTTCGCTTCTTCATGCAGAGCCTTTCCATTTCAAAAGAACTTCAGTGGCGTAAACACCGTTTGTGCTGTGTCCCCAGCCTCGCTTTTCTTCTTCCCACAAATTGAGGCTTTCAGTTAGTTGGACCTATGAGCCTACATCAGAGAACATGGCACATTCATATCAAAGAGAGCAACTACATTTTGAAAGGTTTAAAATTGTGCCTGAAACGCAGAGCCATGGAAATTCTCAGCATAAGGATGAAGCATCCAATATCAAGGTATTATAAGAACTTAGATCATGTAATGGAAGTATGCAGTTGTCTTTGCAAGGTGAAACAACTTTATTTCACAAAACTTCTTCATTTTCCAATCTTATCTGTGCCCTCCACAATGGTAAGAGTGTAGCCTTAAGATAAAATAATTTTCCAAACAGTGAATATATAAAAAGATCCCCTTTTTAATGCCTTAAAAGAATTAGCTTGATCTGCTTCCCAGGTGAATGCAGGAAAAGCTGGATTAATCAAAAAGCTGCTATTGACTAGGAGAAACCAAGTTTACTTCTTTAAGGTCACATAATCCAGAGTTACCTTATTAATTTGTCCTCCTGATTCATTGGGGATGGATGAAATGTTGATGATAGCTGAACTTGATGGGAGAGAACTGCTTGTTTAAGAAATGAAAAGGAGTTGTGTGCAAGAGTGTGCCTTCCCCATTGTTTCACAGGAGCTGTTCAGTTTTAATTAGATGTGATGGCAAGCCCCAGTGTGCAGTTAAGTAAGATCTCACACACGGACAGCCAATGTTTTTAGGATATGAGAGCCTACTTATTTCTGTTCTATTTATTTTGCCAATGATATGATTCAATGTTTGATTCAGGGCTTACAAATGAAAGTGAAGAGCATTATTGACCTTCTGTTGACTCTAGAGCAGAGCACCCGGGGTGATCTTGCCCACTACCTGCACTGAGATAAACCAAGAGAAAAGGGTATTTAAAGCTAAGTGGACCATCCAGATAAGTGTAAGACAGAATAATTAATATTTTAAAAATAAAATTTAGCTGAAGAATGGCAGAATAGGGGTAAATCTAATCTAAAGCATTTTTAAAACATTGAATATCAAAAGATGAAGAGAAGGATTGGCAATTACTCGTGCAGGACCTTCAGAGCCCCTTTAGCATTGTAGTCGAGGATGCAGCCCTCCCTCCATACAAGGAGCACACCCTTTAGCTGTGGTCTGTTTTGATGATCAGTTTGTGGTGCATGGAGACCTCCATACTGTATGTATTAAATATAGCAGCAAGTGGAAAGAAACCACATGTGATGTGAGTTCTCTCAACTTTCTAATGAATTTAAGTAAAATTTGGTATTATAGGGATACTTATCTGCTGTTTTCATTCTGCACAGTACTTATTTGTCAAAAACATGGAAATTAAGTTTAAATGCAGTTTTCATTGTCATTCAAGAAGGTATCTTCCTCTCACCTCATAAATTGGAGGTACCTGTTTACAAAACAAATTTTGTTGACATAGCATTAAGGTAATTCCCAAAGGTTGATTTCATTTAGTAACAAAATTAAGACTTAAAGAAATATAATGTACAAAATCTTTTCAGTTTCTAATTATTTTGTTTTAATGCTGAGTACCTTTGGTTATTGGGTTGAAAAAAAGGTAACTGTATTTTTAACAGATCTCATTTAAATAAAGAATGATGTGTTTAAACCATCAAGGAAAAATTTTAAATGTGGTCTAGTCACCTGTAATGTCTACATCCAGTTATTAGAGTTACTTTTCTTCTTAACTTTCTATCTTGAAATAATTACAGACTCACAGGGATTTGTAAAAATATTGCAAAGAATCATCCCCATCACCCAGCTTCCCTCTGGTACCTTACATAGCTATAGGACAGTATCAGAATCGGGGAACTGAGACTGGCACATTGCTCTTACCTAGATGTGAGTCCTGATTCAGTCTCACCATTTAGGACTGCTTTTTGCATCTATAGGAAATTAGTACTTTTTAAAAATATATCTGAAGATCTTTGCTTTAAACCCTTAATAATGAAATGTAAGACTTTAAACCATCTTTTTTTTTTCTAATATTAAATCTTACTAAAGCTAGATGCATAAAGCCCTATTAAACTTAAAAAGTAAACGGTGAACCCTTATGGAAGGCCTGGCTTTAAGAGGGCATTACTAAGGAGTTTTTAAATATACTCATCAACAGATGAGTATATTTGCTGTTGTCATTTCCATGAAACTCCATCAGTGGGCATTCAGAATGTTCTGGCAGCATAATTACTACACTTATAAATATTTAGATTCTTATGTAAAATGTGTTTTGTTCTAAGAAGCAAAACAATTTGATTAACATAGAAATCTTCATAAAACAATTCACTATTCTTGACTATACATTTGAAAGATAAAAATTTGACTTAAAAAGTAATTTTTATATCTTATGTAGAATATGGTGCAAAAAAAGGATGTGATCTTTTAAAAATGTCATGACTAATTGAATGATTGGGAAATATTTTAATTTTAAATGTGAATCTTTATTTAAAAACATTGTAAGCAGCACCACAAACCTGGTGCTGAGATCTAGTTAATCCAGAATGTTTTAATGTATTAGGAATGTCCACAGTTACATAATCAGGACCTACATGCTTTGGATTCTATTTTAAAGTACTTTTTAATGCACCAAAATAATCCCTTACATAAAGTGTTTTGGTCTAGATTTAACTGATATTTGACCATGTCAGATTATTTTAAATGATGTGAGTTTTTGTGTACTTTGTCAGATGTTGTGTCAAAAAAGTTTTTCAGTATGAAAATATGACAGAAATCATTATCCATGTCAGCCAGTTCTCATTTCAGTTCATGGAAAAATGTTGAGGTACGGTTATATTGAAAAGTATTAATTGACCCTTTCCAAAAACTCATTATTTTTAGTTATATATGGAGTACATTCAGTTGCATAAATGCAATTATAGTCTGTTTTTATTAGTCTCCATCTCTCAGCCATCTTATATTTTAAAAAATGAACACATGATTTTTCTTGATGAAAGTCAACATTATAGTAAAATAATAGTACAGTTTAATACTCCTTTCTCTAATTTGAGATCGTTAAGACATTTAAAAGTATTTAGTTTAGCCTTTAACTTGGAGAAGTTTGTTTTGTTTTTCATTTTATTTTGTTTTGAGATTATCCATAATTCCAAATATAGACTTCTCAGCTTTCTTGCCAAGGCAACTGTTTTTCTAGTTTTACACATAACTTTCCCCAGTCCAACCAAGTTCAGCTTGAAGTTTCTGTTTGTACAGTTTCTTTGGTAGACAGTACTGGGGAAAAATATTAGTACTTCATAGTGCAGCAGTTCTCAACTCTATCATACCCAGAGCTCTCTTTATAACAACTCTATTAACAACCAACACACCTCTGAAAGGAAATTCAGAGAAACGCAACATGTACACACGTTATATTTTGAGTCAGTATAATGTTGTAATATAAAGGAGAAACTGAAATACATATTGCAGTGTACAAATGCTCAGGCATGACCCCACTAGAGGAACTAATGGGACAATTTTAGGTGCTTGCACCTGTGGCTAAATAGAATTCAATAGCTACAAATACAGTCCCACAGAGTTGGGTTATATTAATGACTCTGGTACCAAGAGCAGCACTGCTCTTGGTGACAGTCTTCAAACTCTTGATAAAGTTATGAATAATGCAAAAATCAATCTGCCTTTGATTTGTTTTATTTGGTAAATATGTTGTAAATCAGAGTTGGATTCTAGGCACAGAAAATTAGAAATCTCATTGTTTACTTGTTTGTTTGCATGAATGCACATAGGGCATTTGAAATTTGTGGGTTGCAAGAGAGTCCTTGATCATGTCGGACTTAATGGCATATTGGAGGAGGTCTAACACTTATTTATTTATTTATTTATTTATTTATTTATTTATAGTACCAGGGATTGAACTCAGGGGCACTCCACCACTGAGCCACATTCCTAGCACTATTTTGTATTTTATTTAGAGACAGGGTCTCACTGAGTTGCTTAGCACCTCGTTTTTGCTGAGGCTGGCTTTGAACTCGACTCGAGATCATCCTGCCTCAGCCTCCCAAGCCACTAGGATTACAGGTGTGCTGCTGGGGATCAAACCTAGAATCTTGCATATACTACAAGGTGCTCTGCCACTGAGCTACAGCCCCATCCTCTGCAGTCTTTAAAACAAACAAACAAAAAAATACCTTCTCAGTATAATGGTCTGGCATGGTCTATGACAACCACTACTGTAGAATGCTAGAATAGAATTGATGTTTGCATGATAATTTGTGTTGTATCGGGTCCTTACAGTAGATGGGTGTGACCAAAGCAAAGCTATGAGTCATACATTCATGTTTTACTTTCCAATGAGAAAAGGCAGAGTTTTAAAAAATTATCTCTATAATTTTCTGTGCCAAAGATGTTTTCAGAGTTGTAAACCTCTTGCCAAAACTAAACTGGTTTCCTAGTTACCTGGCCTGTTTGCATTATTTCTTAAATTGCTAATAAAAATACAGACTAAATCTATGGTTTTAGATTTAGTATCTAAGTTCCAACCTGCCCCTCTCCTACTATAGTTTCTTATAGTCTTGATCCTGTTTTATTGCATTTGTGCTGATGAACCTGACTTCTCCATCCACTACAATTCATCTGTGAAGGAAAAAGTGGGAGTCTTTGGAGATTAGATGATACAAATCTGAATGTAAATTCTCCCCTGTCATATATTAATCCATGGAGACTTCAGATTTCATATCTTGTTTATGCTATCAAATTAGCTCTTTTAGGGCTCCCTTTCAAATAGTCTTTGCTTACTGTAATGAGTAAATCCTATGATTTGTTTTGTTTTGTTTCCTTCTCTCTGTTGTAGAGACTAACCATTCCAAGCAGTTGCCCCAGAAGTTTTGCTGAACTGTTACACCAGTGTTGGGAAGCTGATGCCAAGGTATATTTTTTGGTTGTTCAGTATTCTGAATTTTCACTTGTTTGTTTGGTTTTGAGTTTTTAAAATTTGAGTAATAAAATCCATTACAAAGCAAAGTTGGATTGGTGTTCCCGTGAGCCTCAGCCTGACTGCTAAGGCCCTGTGTTGGCATCTGCTTATCTTGATCTCTAGAGACTCATTATTGACTCTTTTTAAAAGTACTCTTTGGTATTCTTTATTCAGTAAAAATAATTTTGTTCTTTTGTTTTTAACCTTTAATAACCATTGGACCTCTATGTTATAAAAATGGCTAACACATCACAGTACATTTTATGTGCCATTGGTTCTAAGCACTTTGTATATATTAACTCACTTATTTCTTAGAATGTATCTTTGAAATGGGTATTGTCATTACCCTCATCTTAGACATGAAGAACCAAAGCAAACAGAGGTTAAATAATGAGTCAAGGCCACACTGCTAGTATTGAGCTGATATGGTAGGAGCTGATCATGAACCCCAGAAGTCTGGCATGAGGCCCTGCTGTGTTGCCTGCCTAACCAGAGAACAGGCACAAATAGCACTTCCAGAGAATGTTGTTATGTCCTCCCTGTCCAGTTTCAGGGATGTTTTTGAGTTATCACAACAGAGTTGGAGAAATTGCAAAACTTGGCCTTTCTTGTGGTTATCGCATTTGAGCATGAATAGCCTGTTTCCTTTTCCTGCAAAGATCATTTAAAAGATTCTCACATACATATGGAAATATTTACAGATAAAGTGGTAGGCCAGTATTGGATTTACTTCAAAATGAGGTGAAGGCTAATGGATGCCAATATAGATTAAACCAGATTGCCCTAATAATTTCCAAAGCTCAGTGATAGGACATGGAGGTTCATTACATTGTTTTCTCTACTTTTGTGTATGTTTTGAATTTTTCATAAGAAAGTTAAAAAATAAGACTCTCACCAATTAAACATTGGAATAAGAGAGCAGTTAAACTCAAGGAAGGAACAGAAATCTTCAGGTTCACATTGGTGCCAGTTTTCATAGAAATAGGGTTATTTCTGACTTTTGAAATAGAGGCCTAAAAAGAAAGACTAAAAAGTGAATTCTATCCTAATTTAAACCCAGTTCTGTTCTGACATCCAGGAAGCATGAGTGATCACAACACATAGTCTGTTCTTCTACAACATACATCTTTAGTTGTGAGTAGCTCAGAAACTATTGGTGTGTATCAGACTGTTAGTGTGACACAGAATTTATGTTGATTCATGCAGAATGTTTTCCAGCACATTGTTCCACACTGAGAGCGAAGTACAATAATGCAGCCTGTGAGGCAGCCTGGTGCTGTGGGGCGCTTTCACTCCATATGGTCCTGCTTGGCCTGGTGTGGAAGTCTTGTTGCTGGTTCTCCCCAGCCACGAGCATTTGCCTTTGCCCTGGTGTCCAGCAGCTTCAATCTTTGCTGTCAGTCCTATTCTTCAAATTTATTTTGCCTATATTTTTTCCCAAATTGAGTCCTATATTTACTCAGTATTATTTTATTAAATATTTTAACATGTTTTTAAGCTGTATTAGTATTTTTATTTGGAATAATTATTTTATTAGTACTCAGTGACAAAATTGCATGGGTTTTCAATGGTCTTCCCTACCCCTGTTTAGGTCCTATTATTTTTGTGCATGATTTTACAAAATGTGGGTATTTTTAAACATTAAGAGAAAAGCCTACGCTTTGCAACTAATCCAGAAGATATTTGTAAGCTTGCTTAAAACATGGTATATTACCCTTACCCTACTCCTTCTATTAGTTACATAACCATTGTAATATATACAGTGATTTTGGTAGTATTTTTTCTACTACTTCAACAGAAATTTTGCCTGAAATTATTTGTATTAACTTAGATTAATGCATATACATCTGTATAATTGTAATTATATTTCAGTATGCAAAGCAAGTTTGTAATTTCTTAATTGAAAACTTGGCACTACATTAATCAAAATTCTAAGAACATATATTTATTGCTCATTAATTAAATCATAGTATAAAAACTTCATACAACAAGGACATTAGGCCCAACATTGAAGCCATGAAGTTGACATGACTTTAACATGAAGTTAGTTGACCCTTCTTTGGGAACTAAAGAATTTAGTGTTTAGCCATGTGAAGTATAAAGAGAGTTTAAGATTGATTTTTATTTTCTCAATTCATGACATCTCTTTTTTTTTCTTTTTCTTTCTTTTCTTTTTTCTTTTTCTTTTTTTTCTTTTTTTTTTTTTTTTTTTTGAGAAAAAGGAAAAAGAGGTTTATTGCTTTGCTAGCAAAGGAGAAACACAAGGGACTCCTGTCCCAAAGGCTGTGATTCTTCCCTTCAGCAGGAACAGGGGGCTTTTAAAGAGGTGATTCAAAGGCTACATTCCACAGGTTCTCTGTTGGAGTTGTAACTCACTTCTTAATTTGGGAGATAGTAATTTATGAGATCTTCTGGTACCCCAAAGTCTGGATTACTTCCTTTCATGACATTCTGATCCAACTATTCCATGCCCACTATGAGGGGTTTGATTGCATAGAGGTTGCAGCCCACATTGCCACCCAATCATTGTTCATCTCCTCCAGATCACCTTGTGTACCTTCATTTCCTGAGCATGCTCTCTTCCTTCTGTCTCTCTCCCTGATACTTCACTATGGAGCCTTCCCTGACTACTCTGTTGTCTCCAGACCAGGCTTAGTCTAGCCTCCTGTTCCAAACCACAGTCTGGACCACTGCCCTACTTGAACTGTGCTATTTTTTAAAATATCTTTTTCCTTCCTAAATGCATTGCAAGCTCTATGAGGGAATAGAACACTAATTCTTCTGTATTTCCTAAGAGCGCTTTACATCAATTTAGTACATAGATGTCCAATTTGTTGTTGCCTGAAGAAGCTGGACCACAGTACATTTTCTGGAAGGTAGATTTTAGTTCTCTGGCTAGAAATATGTAGCAGTTCAACCAGGAGTTGGTGCCAGTCCTGTGCATATATGGAGAGCCATAATTAGTATTTTCTTTTTTTCTAGTCCTAGATTTTTAGAGTATCAACACCTAGGTTGAAATATTCACCCCACCTCTAGGACTGATGTTCTTTTGTAATGAGGAGAGATGTATATAAAAGAAAGCTTGTATTAAGTAAATGTTGGGTCACTCTAATAGTTCATGACAGGTGCTTAAAATATTTTATAGAAGAAAGAATTAATGAATATTAATTTAAGTCTTAAAAGAACATTTTTAAATAAGGAAAAAGAATAGCTAAAGCCATAAGTTTAGTAAGAATACCTCGTCCTTCTGTAATAAAAGGTGTGAAGGGATTAAGAGCATGACTCCAGGTTGTGTACATTGCCTCCTGTGTGATGCTGGGCAGTTCAGACTTTTCTGAGACTAGTTCTCCTTATCTATAAAATGGAGATAACAAACACAGAAAAAATAAATGTAGATGTTTAATAAATATTCCTAGATGTGGTATTGTAAAGTAAACCAAATCTGCATAATACCTAAAAGGCACTTAAGCCCCCTCAAAGGAATGTCCATGAGAACCTATATCAAATGTTTTATTGTGTAAACAGAACATTCAAAGATATTACCATAAAATTCTATACTGTTGTTGCATTTTTCTTTCTTCTTCTTCATTTTATTTATTTTTTTCTTTTTTGAGACAGGGTCTCACTGTGTTACCCAGGGTAGTCTCCAGTGATCCTCCTGCCTCAGCCTCATCAGTAGCTGGGACTGCTGGCACATGCCACCACACCTGGCTGTGCTACATTTTGAATGTTCGCATTAATCATTTCTGTCTGAGAGTAAATGCTAGCTATAGAATTAAGATTTTTCTAGGAATGCTTGTCATCCAACTACAAAAGAGCATCACCTTAGAATAATTAAATATAGGGATACATGTTTTTCTTTAAAAATCCATTAGCTTCTCCTCCTTCTTTTCCTTCTAAAATGAAAATCCTGTATTTATTATATAATTAATTCCTGTGCAAATGAAACATTTTTTTTTCTTTTAAAACATGACACATGGTAGGAGAAATTAGAGTAGGAACAAAGGTAAAGAAGACAAACAATATTTCTCAAGTTTCCTACTTAAGGCATTTTCTTCTTTATTAGAAGGCTTAATGTACACCAGTAGCATTTAGCTACTACACTCTCTTAAAACATAACTCACACATGTGCCTTTAAAAGAGAACAATATCAGTGGAACTCAATAAATATTCTAGTTTTATATTTCTGAGCAATGAAAAAAAAAAAAAAACTTTTCTTCATAATGTAGGAAGCATTCAAGTCCCAAGAGCAAGCCACCTCAACATTGTTCCTTCTTGTTTTTATGCTCCTAAATTAAAATGCATGTTTTAATTGCTGCAACTGTAATTTGTTCAGAAATGGTATAATTATGAAGCCTGATGAAGAGAGAATATGCATCATCCTTTTATTATCTTTCTCCATTTTTGTTTTAACCTTTTGTTTCAACCTTGGCTAGAGTCTAAAGAGAAAGACTAGTGTAGTTACTGCTCATTGAAGAAGTACACTTAACCACTGCCTTTTCAGTTTCTGCTGAACAGGATCTTCCATTGTCCCAGCACTAAAGCTGGTTCTAATGTGAAATATACATTGAGAGCAATGACATCAAGATAGCTTTAAAATTGGGGTTTCTTCCCAACCAACTGATTTGGGAAATTTTATTAGTTCAGATGGATTGATTGGTAGATTTTTCCCCATCATTTTACATAAAATCTTTCAAACATATGGAAAAGTCAAAAGGATTTCACAGTGACTAGCATGCCCATGATGCTAGTAATGTTTTACTAGCTTTATCACATAAATATTTACATGACTTAACTTTTTCCTTTTAGGGACCTTAATCATTTCAGAGAGAATTAGCACTCTTTTTGCCTAGAGAAAACTACTAATTACCCCAGTTTTAGGCCACATGATAGAAAAATAACGTCTAAATCTATTTCTTATAAATAGTTGATTGGGCCAGGCATGGTGGTGCACACCTGTGATCCCAGTGACTCGGGGAGGCTGGAGGCAGGAGGATTTCCAGTTCAAAGCCAGCTTCAGCCACTTAGTGAGGCCCTCAGCAATTGAGCAAGAGCACAATGAAAAGGGCTGGGTATGTGGCTCAGTGGTTGAGCACGACTGGGTTCAATCCTTGGTACCAAAAACAAAAATTGTTAGTTGAAAATAGAGAACACAGTTCCCTAAACCAGAGCAATGTGATGGTTGTAAAATAACTAAACCAGAACACTGCATCATTTCTTTTAGTTACAGTAGGTTGAGCTTATTACTACATTTTTCTCTTGAAGATCTCCCTTCTTAAGTGTCCACAATTGATTGCTTTTCTTCTCTTCTTCAGAAACGGCCATCCTTCAAGCAAATCATTTCTATTTTGGAGTCCATGTCCAATGACACCAGCCTTCCTGACCAGTGTAATTCGTTCCTGCACCACAAGGCAGAATGGAGGTGGGTGACCCTGGTGCCCAGTCCCAGCCCTGGCTTCAAAGGTCCATCACTAACCTCAGTAGGGAAAAGGACCAGAGACGCTGAACACAGTCTGATTGCTAAGCATAGCATAGAAACAACACACAAAAAAAGTCATAAGATTTTGGAGATCTGATTAGTCTTCCATTTCATAAGTAAGCAAGAAAGCGTATTTCTCTAAGCTTGTTGCTTTAGTATGTTACCCAGTATTTGGAAAGAATATTGAAATCATATCTTCTGAGACAAAAGATGGTTACCAGACATTTCTGTATATACACTGTTAGGAAGCTTTGGCCTCTAACCAGTAAGAAATAAAAATACCATTAGCCTTGAAGTTTGAAGTTCTCTCTGTGTGCTAGTTAGAGGTTAGAAAGACTATACAAACACTTCTAAAAGAAAACTCTAGATGTTATAAATCCTATTAAAATTTCTTAAGTGTAAAACAAACGTAGTAATAAGAAAATCGTATTATATGAGTGGAAAAAGTAAGCCAGGGTGAAACATTTGCGACAGGTCACATGATGCAGGAATATAAATAGCGTGTTTGGGAGCTGACACTACTCCTCCCCTGACGCTGCAGAGATTTTAAGTAACTTCATCTCTGCTCCTGACAGCCCTGGCAGTAAGTGACGCCTTACGCCATCTGCTGATGCCAAGTGAATACTGCACATACTGTGAAAATCTGAGTTTTTTACTGCTGTTGTTAAACATTTCTTGGGGAATTCTGTTGGTGTTTTACAGTGCTCTTATTTATTTATTCTTTTGAAATAGCTTTGTAGGGCCAGTGAATTTAATGAATTTTTATTTAGGAATACAAATGTAATACAGTAAAAAGTCTAGGTATGGAGGCTAGAGTTGTAGCTCATAGGTAAAATAAAGACATTGTGTCCATCTGTGACCAGAAAAATTTTTTTTTAAATGTATAGTTATGAGGGACTTTTTTTAATGTTGAAATAATTAACAAAACAGAACAAGAAAGTAATGTTTCCTATATTAAGAGGTGAGTGCACACCTAATCAATTCACTCCCCTGAAATCCATACATGTTCCCATTGCTCCTAAGAGAAATACTTCAGAGTCAGGAAATACTTCAGAGTCAGGAAACCCCCTACTCTGATTTCACTAGTCTCATCTTAACAGCACCAGTCTGCCCCTTAGTTTCTGGCCTGCAGTCCCACAACAGAGGAACATTTCTGCTTTACTCAGAGTCTCTGCAAGCTCAGTTTCCTAGTTTAAAGCCATCCCATCTCAGTTACACTACACCTGACCCCATCCCCCACCCCAGCTCCTACTGGCTTCAGTGGCCACTGGACCAGGAAGTGTACCCTGAGCCAGGAAGGTACCCTGACTCTAGGTCAGACCATTCCCACCTGCATGCTCTGCAGTTTATTGTTTAATGTCTCAGTGGCTGAAACATTGGAGGGGTAGGCATTACATTATCTTTGTTTATCACTCATTGTCCCCACAGCATCTAGCATGTGCCTTGAACATAGTAGTTACTCAATAAATACATAGGGAAGGAATAAAATACCATAACGATGATAACATAAAAGACATTATGCTCTTGCACAAGAGAATATAAATATGTAAGTTAATTTTCCCTACAGAAGTCTTTCTTACATTCACTCGTTGGTGTGTTCCTTGAACCTCTGCATTTGGAGACATGGGTGGTGCCATTCTCAGTATTGGACTATAGTAATGAGCATGACCATCCCAAAGCTCATGGTGCACTCCAGCAGGAGAGGCCAATGTTAAACTGCTAAATATAAGTGTACAAATAACTATTTAATTACTGTTTTGACAAGCATTATGACAGAAGTACTGGATATCTGAGAGCATTAACCATGAAATCCAATCTAGTCTGGGGATATAATAAAAGAATTCCCCAAGGAAATGCTATTTGATCTGTTACCCAAAGGATTAATAAGATTTTAATACTAGTATCAATACCTTTGAGATAGGGAGTCTCTAAAAGTATGCCAACAAAATCAGAAAACAAATTGATGTTTGTAAATTTAAAACCTTTAAAAATAAAAATTCAAAACATGTATATGGCCAAAAGCAATGTCCATCATAAATAAATTTCCAAGTACTTCTCAAACATTTTGGTCTCAGGATCCTATTACACTCTTAAAAATTATTGAGGACTTCAAAAAAATTTGTCTAAGTCATATCTGACAATATTTACCACATTCAAAAATAGAACTGAGAAAAATTTAAAATATGTGTTTATTGATCTGTTTCAAAAACAATAATAAATCCTGCTTCTCAATTCAGCCTATGGCCCTATCACATAATGCCCCTGGAATACTCTGTACATTTATAAAAGAATTAGAGTAGAAAAGGCAAATCTGTCTTAGAGGTATTCTGGAAACCAGTCTGACCTCAAGAATCCTCTGAAAAGTTCTCTTAGGTTCCCATACCATACACTGAAAAACATTTTGATAGAGAATTACTATCTTTAAAAGAACAATTTAATTAAAATATACTAAAGGACATGAAAGAGCATTTCACAAAACGAGAAATCAAATGGTTAATAAACATATGAAAAATATTCAACCTCCTTTAATCATCAAGTAAATACAGGTAACCATAATTTATTAGATTGGCAAAAATTCACATTATGAAAATGCTTAGTGTTATAGGCCTTCTCATACATTGCTAACAGGGGAAACACTAACTGCCGGGACAGTTACATTCCTATAAAATGTTTTTATTCTATGTCCCAGAAGTCCTACGTCTACCATTTTATTCCTAAGAAATAAACAGGAATGGTATGCAAGAAATGTATAGGCACTTGTTCAGTCAGCCTAATTTAGATTTGCACAACTAGAAGTGGTGTTAAGTACAAAAATATGGAAATAGTTTTTTAAAATGATAATATTGCCATATACTAAATAAAACAGAACCATTATACACACACACACACACACACACACACGACAAATGATTTTAAAATAGAGGCTACAGTCCAGTTTGTTTAGAATGATTCCATTTTTTTATAAAATAAAGGTGCATTAATAGTATGTATATAAATACAAAGAAAAAGTACCAAAAAGACATTTTTGCAGGGCATGGTGGTTTATACCTGTAAACCCAGCTACTTGAGACACTGAGGCAAGGATCCCAATTTCCAGGCCAGCCTCAGGAACTTAGTGAGACCCAGCCTGAAAATAAAAAATCCAAAGTATTGGGGCTGTAGCTCAGTGGTAGAGTGCCCCTGAGTTCAAATTCCCACTACCAAAAACAAAAACAGAGTGTTGGGACTGGGGTTGTGACTCAGTAGGGGAGTGCTCAATTCCCGCTACCGAAAAAACAAAAACAAAACACAGTGTTGGGACTGGGGTTATGACTCAGTGGTAGAGTGCTTGCCTAGCATGTGTAAGGCACTGGGTTCAATCCTCAGCATCACATAAAAATAATATGTAAAATGAAGGTATTGTGTCCGTCTACAACTAAAAAAAATTTTTTTTTAAATCCACAGTGTAATCACTGGGTAGTGAGATTATTGAAGAGTGCTGTCTTTTTGTATATCTGTATTTTTTTTTACTTGTTTTACATTAAGCCTGGATTAGTTGAATGATTAATTTTTTAAAGTCTTCAGGCCAGGTGTGGTCGTACATGCCTGTAATCCTAACTGTTCAGGAGGCTGAAGTAAGAGGATCACAATTTGGACCCATCCTAGGCAACATAGGGAGACCCTGTCTCAAACAAAGAATACTTCAAGGTGAAAAATGAGCAAAATAAATTTGATGATAGAGGATGGAGGAAAATACATCAGTATGTTTTTGGAAAATACAGTTGGCCAGGGGGCATCCTTAGTGGCTCTTTCAGGAACTATTGACCCTGCTCTTAGGGCTGGAGAGAAAATGTGTATTTTTTCCTGAACCAGCAAACCATAGATTGAGAATCCTAGAGCTGTTTTAACTGAACTTGGTAATTGGTTAAAGACATGGGGAGTAATATCAATTATAATAATAAACACAGTTACTGTTCATGAGGTTCCTACCAGATGCCTGTACTTCATTTGGATTATCTTTTTAAATCCCCATGGCAACCCTAATTGTATCACAGATACAAAAACTGAAGCCCAGGCGGGTTGGGTAACTTGCCGAGATCATACTGTACTGAGATGAAGCCTGTAATGGGACCCAGGGGGTCTGGTACACAGGCCACTCCGGCATGTATGCTGCACTGTGCTTTTGCTGGACTGTGGCCACTGGTTATGCCAACTCCCCATTAACATGCAGGATTCATTTAACTGGATCCTGTTTAGCTACGAGTCATATTACAGGGCATGATTGTTTTAGGTTATCATTACAGCAAAAAGACTGTCTTACTCAATCTGCCAAGTGCTGAAAAGAATGATGTTTTTATCAGATCATCTGGGTATTTCAAAGGACAACATATTCAGACTACTTCTTGCTTTTCCCCAACTTTTGTGTGGTGCCTAAAGCCATGGGACTGGGGTCCAAAGACTATTTTAGCGAATGAGAGTCACAGTGCAGTCTGCTTCCAATCCTGCTGTGGTGTGTCTGGCAGATGATTGTTTTCTGGTAGAGCTTTCTCTACACATAGACCAGATGGAACATCTATTTTTGGAAAATTAAATGATTCTAAAATTCTTTTTTAAAGCTAGATTATTAAAATCCACATAAACTGTGTTCTTCTTGTTGGTCTAATAAATAAGAAAGAAATCTAGTATCAGCCATTTCCCTGTTCATCAAATCCTCATCTTGATTCTCCTCCTGTTAACATAAGAGCAATAATGGCAGTGAGCATTAAGAACAGAAAGTGTACCCTGTTTGTCCTGTTTGCAGTTTTTATTAATCCCTGTGATTGTCTACAAACGATGGCATTCTGCATCAAGTGAGTTACATAGGATTATGAGCATTCAGACCCATGTCTCTGGCAAACACTGTTTGTTGTGTTTTTCCTTGGTGACCAAAGTCCTCTCAGCGTGACATGCCTTCTTGACAACAAAAAGCTGAGATCAGAAAATGTAATCGTTCCAACTTAGATTTTAAGCACAAACATATGATACATAACACTAATGTATATTTATCATGTAATATATATGTGTGTGTGTGTGTGTGTGTGTATATATATATATAATTTTAGCAAATAGATCTTTTATTTCAAAGTAAGTGTCTATTTAATGAAAGAAGTTAATTACAGTTCATTGCCTGTTCATAGAAATACTACTTGAAATCAAACTTGGTTGGGTTTAGTTTAAGAGAAAACATAAAATTTTCACCAACCAAGACACTTAAACTATAATTTTAGAACAGGAAGTTTATATAAATGCACCAACAAATGCACTTGATACAGAACAACACACCAACAAAAAGGGAACATCTAGGGGATCAGTGTCTGTCCTTGGGCTTGAGTTTCTTGTGGTACCTAACCTCAGAGTCTTGGGCACAGGAGCCAGAACACAGCTGGGAACCTGGGCCTGAGGAGCAGATGGAGGAAGATCTGTTCAGTCAGTGTTTGTTTGTGTGTCACAATTTTCAGCTTACTTAACTTTTGATGTCTTTTCCAGAAGGGCTCAAAAAATCGCAGTGGGCTCCCAGAGCTGGAACTTGAGATGAGCTCTTGGGTTCAATTACAAGTGAAACAGAATGTGTTGGCCATTTACCCTGACTGAAAAGAACATCAGTGAGATCAGTCTCACTGGCAGGAGAGTTGGGACTGGTTGAAAAAAGGGCTGTACAGACTAATGGCCCACACCACTGCCATCTCACCTCTGAGCATGCCCAGCTGTGAGGCCTCTTTGCCACCCTCTGACTGAAGATAGCTTGCTTTTTTCTTTCTGGATTACAAAGTTTATCCTAACATTTTCCATATTGATTTTTCCCCTCAATCCCTCATTTGAAAAATAAAAGCACGTTGTCTGTGAATGGGCATAATATCCTTGTCAGAAATATCAATGGTTTAATTTGGATTTTATAATAGTCTTGATTCTGAAATATTGCTGCTTCTGGGCCTTATTAGAAACTGTGACGCGATTCTCTGTATGCCTTTTCACATGGCATGAATGAAAGGGATGGAGTGTTGATATTTGTGGGTGGCATTTACTTGCTGCCTCCCTAGCTAAAGAACTTTTCAGTCAAGCAGAGAAGCAAAGCCTTGGGCCCACATCCAGACCCACCTCAATAACTGTTCCCTGAGTTGGACTTTGCCAGTGAATACCTAGAAACCACTTGTTTTCCTTCATTAAGTTCTTATCTGTAAGAGTATTAGAATAAGCCTCTCACATCCTCTGATTTTCCCTGGTAATAAAAAGGCAGATTTTGGGGGCTGGGGATGTGGCTCAAGCGGTAGCGTGCTCGCATGGCATGCATGCGGCCCGGGTTCGATCCTCAGCACCACATACAAACAAAGATGTTGTGTCCGCCGAAAACTAAAAAATAAATATTAAAATTCTCTCTCTCTTAAAAAAAAAAAAAGGCAGATTTTGGTTGCACATATTCATTAACTTTGACCAGGGGCTCTCCCTTTCACACCTCCCCATCTCCCTGAGGATGCAGTCTAAGGCACGGGGGCATAACTGTTGGCAGCACTCAGGAGCCAATAGACATGGCACCGATTTCCCACTTGCCACCTCTTCCTCCTTTTTGTCTTCCTCTCTGTGGGCCTTCCTTCCTGGCCTCCCCTTCCCTCTCCCCTTCTCCCAGTCCCCTCTCATCCCCTCATTACTGTGGCTTACTTACCAGCTCTTCAGAAACTCAAGGAAAGAACTTCCAGTTCTCCAAGCATAAATTTAGACATCATGACAGCCCTGCAGGAGAAAAAAGTTTGTGCCAAGCCATGTTAGCAATTTCCCTTGCTGTGAAGAACAGGTTTCTATTACTGGGCACATTGTTCCAAGTGTGAGGTTGGTGGGCCCAGAGAGATGAAGCAGAAATCTTCCTTTAAACATTATTAAGAAAGAGATCTTCAGAGCTCCTCTGGCCCACAGTGTCCTATACTTACCTGATTGTAAAGACTTTCCTGAGTTTTTATCAAATAATGCAAGTCCTTCCCAGCCCCCTGTCTAATGAATCATGAGCTCCAAGGAAAGGGAATCTGTGCTTTTGTTGTTTTGTTGTTTTCAACAAGCTGCCCAGGTAATTCTTAGGATCAAGCAAGTTATAGAGTCTTGATATGCTATAACCACCACCCCTCCAACCAAGGAAGCTGAGTCAGATTAATCTATTGATTGCTAGGGTTGCTCAGCCACAGGTAGGCTAAAGTGCCATCTCAATCACTTGCCAACAGTATGATACTGATAGCCTAACCTGAGTGTCATTTTCCCATCCATAATACAAATTAGTAACTGTTTGTTGGGCTGTTCTGGGAATAAGATGAGATATGTAATGTACTTTATAAACTCTATAAACAGCTCTCTGACTATAGGCACTCACTAACGACTAGCCTAGACACCAGCTCCAGGTTATGCTGCATCCCACGACTCTTTGATGCTTTGTTGCAATACTTTGAGCATGTTTTTCCAAACCAGAAGCTACCTGTTGATTTTTAAGGATATAGAAGATGCCTGGTTCCCTGGGTATGTCCTGGTCAACTTCAAAACACACGCATTAGTCTTTTACTCTGATGAGCATTCTGATGGACACTGTAGTAGAGTTGAGACTTACTAGTTGTCCTTGTGCAGGTGTGAAATTGAAGCAACCCTTGAGAGACTAAAGAAACTAGAGCGTGATCTCAGCTTTAAAGAGCAGGAGCTCAAGGAACGGGAAAGACGGTTAAAGATGTGGGAGCAAAAACTGACAGAGCAGTCTAACACCCCGGTGAGTACTCGCACCCGGCTTCCCACGTGCAGCATTAGAATGTGGCTGAGCATGGCAGCTCTTCTCCTGTCCTGCCTCCTCCTCACTTCCTGCCTTACGCCTGTGTGCTAAAGGCCTTCATTTGTAGCAACTAGTATAAATGATCAAAATGCCAGAAATTTAAAAGAAAAGTCCTGTCCTATTTCTGGCTTTTTCCTTAAGAAATGTTATTCTCTCCATGTGCTTGTATATTAGACTTACAAAAATAAAATCTGATGTATTTTCACACCATCTGTTAGGTCCCCAGAACATGTGCCTAAATGCTGATTAACTCTTTATTAACTTCATCAGTAATTAATAACTAACTCCAAGGTAGCTAAGAAAGTCTTTGTGCCGCAATTCAACCACATTTTTCTTCTAAAATAGAACTAGCCTGATGGTGTTAATATTCCTTGCTCAATTTAGTGTTATGACCATGGCAGCAAAATATTAGAAAAGCTTAGGATATGCTTCTAGTATATTCTATATCCAGGAAGAGTCTTGATTTTTCCCAAGTATTATATTTAGAGAAAAAAAATTCTTTTTAAGGATTTTACTATGTACACACTAACCTTGAGCTTATATTCTAACATAATATGTTAAAGTCTAAGCAGATTTCAGCATTCTTTTCTGTTTTAAATGACTTGTTTCTAGCAACTAAGTACAAATTTATCTGTTTTTCCAGGACTTTTAATGGGAAATATTTTCCCACTCAAAATCACAATGATAGAGTAAAAGTAAACTTATATTTTTATATTTTGATAGTTGCTATGACAATTATACCAAATAACTTAAATTCCCTTCTTTTTAAATTTATATATTCATTCTAATTTGTTGTACATGACAGCAGAATGAATGCATTTCAGTTCATAGTACAAATATAAAGCACAATTTTTCTAAATGCTCTTCATTAAGCAGTCAGTGCACAATTGCAAATATTTCCCAATGTCTAAAGAGTAAAAATAGTTTGTCTTCTTTTCCAACTTGTATAGAAAAGCAACCTGATATCCAAAAATGAAAACGCAATGAAATTAAGTGTCCATTATCAAATTTAACTTTTTTTAAAAAAGATTTTTGTAATCCAGTGGACCCCAAAATAAGAGTTTAATAGCTACACATAAGACTATCTTGGGACATTACAAAGGTACATTTTCTAAATTTCTAGATTTCACTTGGTTTTCAAGTAAGGAGTAGAGGGAAGTTCCCTGATGAGGTTGAATTGATGCTGGCAGGCAGACTAGAAAGCACTACCCCAGGGATCTGCACAGGAGCCCTACTTTTCTAGGCTGATGAGGGACAGGAGCAGGAAGGGGCCCTTGGCCCTGCAAGCACGTCCTCTGAAGCCTGAGAGGATTTTTTTGTTTTATTTTTCAAATGCATTGAAATCTTAAAGCACTGCATGGCTTGACTCTTTCTAAATGTAGTATTTTAAGAAAAAAAAAAAACTTTAAACCACCTATTAGAGTATGCTTTAGAACCTTTCTTTGAATTATTGGCATCAGTTTTGCTAAGAAATTATGGGCTGCCTTGCACACATTATTGCTATTAGTAACATAGTTGTGTAATAAATAATAAAACGCTATGAGTGCTCAGTAGGATGTATGCTTGCATTTTAACTCCAGAAAACTTTCTGTAAAGGAACTGCTCTGAGGGCCACCATCTAACAATGGACAGCATGAAGCACAATCTCAGTGAGATTTCCTTTGCTTTTCTTACTTATGAGGTCTAAGTTTTCTTTCTTTATAGTACCTGCTTTTAATGTCTCCTCTGCTTAGAGCTGGTATTTCTGAAGGAAAGAAAGTTTATGCTCAGATATTTTATAAGTAGCTGTTTTCTTTTATCCTCATTTCAGTTTCTAGTTGGCTTTAAATGAGATTACTGAAAGATAAAATAAATCTTTGAAAAAGGAAGTGGCTGGAAGCTGAGGTTTTCTGTATGTAGCCTCGTCTTAATTATAAAACTTTAACGTTTATGTAACTTCATAAAAACCATTTATTGAACTGATTTCAGGGACACTGTTTTCTAAAATTAAAAGTTAAAGATACTTGAGAAGATGAGTTCTCTATGCATAAATAAGGATGATGTTTCTTTTTTAACTACTGTAGCTTGCTTTAAAATTTTAGGAATAAAATCTTATTTGAGGGACATTTGCAGAAATCTTTGGTGTCTAACATAACATGAGGAAAGACCTCTGAAATAATAAAATAAGCAACCAAAAGTTCCTGAGAGGATCTAATAATTAAAAATAAATTTGAGAATCCAAGAAGGGTGCCAACAAGGGAAATCACATCCTGTTTCCAATATTTAAGGATCAAAAGCAACTTTTTTCTTCCATATACCTGGTGCTTTTTAGCTGAATTATATGAAATTATTTCTGAACTAACACTTCTAGGAGTCTTCCTAATAGAATGAGCTGTTTAAAAAAAGAAACAACAACAACTCAGATCCAACTTCAGTTTAAAAACTAAGAAACTGGTACTAAGTATTGGGTAACTTTATACCCAGAAAGTCAGGGTCCTCCAAGAGTTAGGTGATTTGTGGATCATAAACTTATTCATATTAAACCACATCAGAAATACAAGCCTTCATTTGCTTATTTCTTAAGAGGAGGCTGGAACATTTTACATATCCTAACTCTGGTATGAATATGACCGAACATTTATGGGAATAGGTTGGCTGTCCAAAATAATTATGTAAGATTTTTTAAAAACATTTTTTAACCTGTGCAAAAGAGAATTCTTAGGGGGGAAAAAAAGTTCTATTAAAAGGATGAAACTTGAATATTTGAGGATGAAGAAAACAGTAATCTAAATGAATATTCCCTCCCCCCATTTTCACATATATTTACATACTTGTGTAGAACTGAAAAGTTAGACACATTCTAGAATTTATTCACAAATAAATTATTGAATAATTTGGACAAATAGTACTACATAACATCTGGCTGAAGTAAATAATACAAGGAAGCACATGGATTCTAGGCTCATTTTTAGTGCATAGTCAGAATACTAAATCAATTTAAAAGGTAATTAACTACTCAAATTCTCCTTGAACCACTTTGAGAACAGAACTGATTTTATACTTCCTCTGAGCTTTTCTTCCTTGGTACAGAGTTTCTTAATTTTTCACTTGAGATTTTGTGTCTGCTTAACTTCTTCTTCTTCTTTTTTTTTTTTGATATGATGGTTTACTAAATGTTTCTATGTGGAAGTAAAATTGGGAAAAATTAAGAGAAATTTCAAAAACTATTTTGTTTTAAGCAAAATGAAGGCTGAGGACTTGCCTCTTCCTGTCCATTTGAAATTTTGTTTCCTGTGGTGCTTTGCAAACTTTTGTTTATGATTTACTCTGTCATTCGTAAATTACGGCAAATATGCTGGAGCTAAATCTGCCATTAATTAAATTCTCACCTATTTCCCTACATTCATGGATTTCACTAATCACTTACTTCCTGTGTAGTACCAACTAATTTTGTGGTATCTATTTTCTTATTTAAATTGGTCCTAATTTCTCTTTTTACTTCTGTCCTTTCTTCCCTTTGATAGCTTCTCTTGCCTCTTGCTGCAAGAATGTCTGAGGAGTCTTACTTTGAATCTAAAACAGAGGAGTCAAACAGTGCAGAGATGTCATGTCAGATCACAGCAGCAAGTAACGGGGAGGGCCATGGCATGAACCCAAGTCTGCAGGCCATGATGCTGATGGGCTTTGGGGATATCTTCTCAATGAACAAAGCAGGAGCTGTGCTGCATTCTGGGATGCAGATAAACATGCAAGCCAAGCAGAATTCTTCCAAAACCACATCTAAGAGAAGGGGAAAGAAAGTCAACATGGCCCTGGGGTTCAGTGATTTTGACTTGTCAGAAGGTGACGATGATGATGATGATGACGGTGAGGAGGAGGAGAATGACATGGATAATAATAGTGAATGAAAGCAGAAAGCAAAGTATTAAAGTTGGAAATGTTCAGAAAGAAAAAAAGGAAAGAAAATTGTTCTCTCAGTCTGCATAAATAACAGTAAGGAGGCAGAAAATCAAGCACTGCATTGTTAGGCCAATCACATTTACAGGACAGTCATTTCCTTATCTATTTAACTTTTGATTGATTTTTGCTTATAGAAAGGGGGAATGATTAATCCAAAAAAGATATATTTATGAATCAGCAAATACGGTGCCTGATTATAGAAATTTGTACTTCTATATACAATATAGTATTTTTAAACTAATGACATTCTGGCTTTTTCTTTTTTTAATGAATATTTTATAGTTTGTATTTGACTTTATTTTATTCCCTTTATTCACTTAGATAAGAAAACTTGCATTTTGAACAAGCACCCTTCACTCCTAATTCTTTTTTGACACTTGATTCTTCTGGAACATATTACATTTTTTTTTCTTATGACAATGTATTGTAACGTCAAAAATGATTGATAGTGACTATAAAATTCAACCACAAAAAGATTGACATGAAAGAAGATTGTAAGAAAATGCTTCTTCAGAAATACCTAAATGCCAAGAATCTTTAATACTTAACAGCACAGCTGCTCAAAGTGCTACCTGGGAACTGTTCTCAATAGTCCATTTGAAGGTAGATACTCCTTCTGAAGCCAACAGTAGGTGGCGGCTTGCATACCAGAGCTAACCCAGGAAGCACTTTAACAACAACACACCATCATATAAGGCTTATCCACAGAAAGGGGGTGTGGGGGGCACCTGTCCCAAAGGGATACTCCCAGGTAAGCACATACTAAGCACCAGCCTGCTCTTCACTTCCAGTAAGGGCGCTCTGCATGACCTTTTCTTGGTTTTCCAGAGGGGTGTGATAATACTGAATTCAAAATATATGTATCGATATCTTAAAGAAGAAAGTAAATGTTTTAAAATGAAAGCAAAGATAAGTCACCCTTACTTAGGTATAAGCAAATTCTGAAGGGTGCTTTCTATATCCAATCTAGTTTCTCAGAGTTTTTTTTTTTGTTGTTGTTGTTGTTGTTGTTTTAAACCTGTTCAGTGATGCTGGTATTTCAGAGAAATTGACACAGGTGCTGCTCTAAATATGAGGCTACAGAAATATTCTCAGAATGATGTCATAGGTTTGTCAGAGCTCATTTAAACTATAAAACACCATTTTTAAAATTGTAACTAGATAAAGAAAAGCAAAAGAACCAAGTTTTTTCTAGCCTAAATTGAAAAGCAGACAATTAAACAAATAGTCAAATTAAACTTGACTATTAAACAAAACTACTTTTAGCAGTTTATTATATTAAAGTTAAAAGAAAGGATGTCATCATGGATATTATCTAATATTATTTCTAAGTATATTCATAAAAGGGTCTTTTAGAATTTGAACTATGATGTTCTTTTAATTCCCATTGAGAACTAAAAACTCTACCAAATGGTCAGTGTGCTGTGCCACTGACCATTATATAGGGAGAAATCACTAGTAAAATGTTGTAGGTTTCTACTTGCTGTGCAACCCAGGGCACAGTATTTAATCTCTGTGAGTCTGTTTGCTCATCATTAACATGGGAATAATAGTAACCTACTTAAAGACATGTCATGAGGATTAAAAGAAATAACATGTATAAGGCACTTAACTCAATACCAAGCACATGGTAAGGGGCCAGTTAATGTCAGCTCCTATTAATTGTGCCAGTGAAAAGACACTGAAAAATAAGTGGTTTTAGTAACCTTCTGGAAAACTGAACTGTCAATTTCAAGTGATACTGCTTAGTATATGAAGTGAAACTTTAAAATGAGTAGCTCTCAGGAAAGAAAGAGAATATTCTTAGAATCTAAACTGTACAAACTGATTTAATTCAGTTGCTCTTGGGGAAAGTCTGAGCCCTGACAGGTGCCCCAGACGCTGTTGTTTGCAAGTTGCGCCACCAAATTGAGCATATACAGAATGAGCAGGTAAACCTTTGCCCTGGAAGGTGGGTCCTCCTCACACCTCTGCTGTAACTCCTCTGTCTGTTCACATAAGATCCAGCTGCATGGGCAGCCTGTCTGCTCAGAGACAGAGATGTGCTCCCCACACTAGCCAGGCCATGCAATCAGAACATCTTGGTGGAGCAGAAGAGACACCTTGCAGCTACTCACTTTTCAGGGTCCCTTGGAACCTGAAGGAGAGAGCAGAAGGTGTGGGGTTGTAAAAGCACGTAGACCTTTTCCAGGCAAAAATAAAACCATCCATTCCATAGATATTCACTGAACCCCTTCTCTGTTACAGGTAATGTTTTGGGGGAACAGCTAGGGGAAGAAAGCTCTTTGCACTCATGGAGCATACATGCTATGAGCAGAGAAAATGCATCATGTGATACATTAACGTTCACTAGGTACCTGCTGAACAATGATTCAGGAAGGAGGAGAAGGCCAGTGGAGGAGGCTGAGGTTTTTAAAGTGTGGTCAGGAAATGCCCCAGTGATGGGTGACTTTGAGCAAAACTGAGGAAGCCAGGACATCTCTGTGCATGGCAGGATCTTGTGTAAGAATGCGAACCAACCTTACCACCTCTTAAGAACAATCCAGGGTAAATCTAGAACATATAAACAGAATGAAACTGACATTTTCTTAATTATCATATAAATCCATGTGATTATAAATAAAGTTGTGGTGCATTAAAAGCAGCCAAATAGGACCAAAAAAGGAGAGTTACAGGAGTCTGTATGTAGACCTAGGTTTATCATTAATTAGATAGCATTTCTCCCACTCTTAACTGCTGCCATTTTCCTCACCAATATTCCAGAGATGTCATAGCTCAATACTCTGCTTAGTAATATAATGTATTATCATTAAGGAAAGACATGTAGTACGTTACAGAAGAATCAAGTGTCAAAGAAGAATTAGGAATAAAGGATGCTTATTCAAAATGCAAGTTTTCTTGACCAATTGAATTAAGGGAATAAAAGTCAAATGAAAACTATAAAATATTCAGAATAGTATGAAGTGAACACATGCTGTGCTTTCCAGAGGAGCATAATAGTCCTGGGTTCTAAACATGTGCCATTAAGAAATAGCAAGGATTTAGGATACAGCAGAATTGGCTCAAAATTGTTCTTCATCTGGAATTGGACTATATGGCTTTGGCTCTTTTAACTTTTTGTTCCAAATCAGGGTCCTGGTGGTTTTAAAATGGTAAAACATCCCTGAAATCCAAATCACATAAACAGAATTTTGCAGTGCTCTCATTCTGTCTGGAAAGATTATTTAAAAGACTTTAGATTGCTAATTTTATTAATTTTAAAGAGAAATGCCTATTAACCATGTGTAGAATTTCTAAAGATATTAATTGTACACCTTCAAATTTCACTTTTCAGATCAGTTTTTGAAATGGCAAATTATCAGTATTAGACTTAGTTCGTTTCTTAACAAAAATGTACATTTCTAAAGAGACGAGTTAAAGAAACAGAAATGTAAAGATTCAAAATGAGAATTGAAACTCTAAATTGTAATAATTGTCAGAGTCATACAATTGAAAATGTATCACCTTTTGCCTTTTTTTCTTTAGTCACAAAGTTGAGCATGTAGAATTTGATAACACCCTACTAGTGGCTCTCACCTGGAGCAGCAGTGTGTCACCTGATGGTGTTTGGGGTGGGGGTTGGGGCTGAGACACATTTTCAGTTGTCACAATAACCAGGGCGGTACATAGTACCTCCTGCCAAGACTGGTAACATCCTGCAAGCCAGGGACATTCCCACCCTGTAAAGAATTCTGTCCACAATCTCCATAGCATCAGTCCCTTCCCCAGTAGGAAACTCATTAGATCTGGCAGTTTTAGAGTTCCACCTCTTAATTGTTTTCCCCAAATGAAATTACCCAAATTCAAAAAAGAAAGAATAGAAATAAAATAAATTATAACAACTAGAGGCTCAGGTTATAGTTCAGTGGTAGAGTGCTTGCCTAATGTGTGAGGCACTGAGTCCGATCCTCAGCACCACATAAAAATAAATAAAATAAATGTATAAAAAATTACAACAACTACTCAATCAAAATTTTGTGATTTCATCTCAGATCCACCATTTGTGGAAATGGTTTCATGGTGGGGCGGGCAGAGGGGGCACTCTCCATTATACTGATCAATGATGCCACAATATATAAAAAGAAAAAGTCTCCATTATGTTAGTTATAGTTCTTTGAAAAGTTGCCAGATTAATTTAAAAGGCCCTTTTCCTAACAGCATATTTTTTAAAGCAAAATCACATTTTAATATTTTATGTAAATAACCAGTGGGAAGAGTGTGAAGGCACATAGCACAACTGTTTTTAATGTTCTGGAAATATTGAGAGCTGTTTTTCAGGTAGTGATTTATTTTAACATGCAGTGGGTTTTTTAGACTTCAACACCAACTGACATACTCAAACTTGGTCCCCATTAAAATCAAAGGAATTGGAGGTAGGAGAAGGGTTTAGGAGAGACCCAGAATGACTTCTCTTAGCCTACTATGTACATAACTTTGTTTTTCAGAGTTTTCATTAGAGAGATAAGAGTTTTATAAAAGACAGTTTTAAAACAGTCTAAAATATTGACACTATTTTTCTTTGGATCTTTGTTCCACTACACTCATTAGCTATGTAAAACTAGTAGTGTCTTACTATACCACATATATAAGAGAGCATAATTTTTCTATGATCAGGCACCTTTTGCTGCTTTTGAGTAAGACTGTTTTCCTGTTTAGATTTTTAAGCATTGCCAGAGAGGTGAATCTGCTCTATTCATCTGATTGTAGCATAGCCTGAAAACTCTAGGTGCAGTATTTCTATGATGAAAATGAGTGGTCTATCAGAAAATCTGAAATCTGGGGGCTGGTCATTTTCTCAGACCCTAGCTTCACATGCACTCTGTTGCCTGTGAGGAACTTTCTGACATGTGATTACTTACTTCAAAACTAGAGTTTCAGGCACTTACACTAATTATTTTATATCGTGTGCAGAATAGTTTATCTTTTAATATTAGATATGATACACTGCACATACTGCTTTTGCACTCTTAAAAATTTTGTACTAAATGATAGAAAATATTTATATTCTTTGAGTGTGAGCTTTGAATAGATGGCATTATCACTTTATTGTTTTTTTTTTAACAAAAACCTTCTCTTAGTTATTCTAATGCATTGTTATTCTGAGCAAGTCATATGCCAAATATTGTGTATAATGTTTGTATGGAAGATTAAATTTTACTCTCGTGTGGTAAGACTATTCAGTTACTGCCTTCATAGTTGGAATTTGATATTCCAGCAAAAATTCCACAATGTATTCAGAAATCCAAATTGGTGTCATACATTTCATTTTGATGTGAACTTTACTTTGCTTTCCTTTGTTCTAAGACTCCATTTTGCAATAAACGTTTTGACAGTAAATCCCTTTGTTATGTGTTGCTGTGTATATAAGATCTTTGTTAAAGTGGATTCCCAACATCCTTTGAAGGAATCATTGTCACACACATGCACATGAGTGTTAGCTTTTTTCTCCTGAAGTCAGTTGGAGTGTAAATAATGAATTTCTAAAGTGATGGGGCAGTCATGAGGGATTTTTTTTTTTTTATCCCCAAAGAAAGAAAGGCTTAGAACTCATCCTTCAGCAGATGCACTGATATGTTAACAAGGTACAGAAAACATAAAGGAAATGGTAAGCCACTATGTGGCTGGAGATCATTAACTCTTATCCCCTGTCTTGCCAAATTCAAACCATCTTGAAGCAGCGCCTGGCTCCAGCTTCCTCTCACTGATCGTTGTGTGCCTCATGCAAGGACTCCTGCTGGAGTGAGTCAGACCCAGTCCAGTGTCTTTCCCTGGCACTGTGCGGGCTGAGCCCTCCTCAGAGAACTCCACTCTCCTTTGACATTCAAACCAAAGATGTTGGTTATTTCACTTGCAACCTTTATTCTATTCAAAAAATACTTATTTCTCAATTTAATTTAGCACATTTGGAAATTGTACAAAAATCAAAACATCACACATGCCCCCGTTTCCTGTAAAAACTGGCCTCAATGCAGGGAAATATTTCCACAACGCAGCCTGGTGTTTCTTGAACTAATGAGAAAAGTTCCTTATTTCACATTTGTGTCCATGATGGGAGAAGGAATGACATATTTCTGCAGCTGGATACAGCTGCACTGTGAAGAAATAAAACTTGTCATGTATTTTCTTTGATCAAGTTCAGCTTTAGATTCAATCCCTTGAGTCTTTCTCTTCTCCACATTGTTACAGCAGGTGAGTGTGTTGGATGATTCCTACATAACTCCAGTGTTTCAGAGGAGGGAAGGGACACTCCTTGAGGTAATCGAAGCACGTGGAGGGTAGCTGAGTATACATAGAATAGTCTGGATTGAAGTGTAAGCTTTGTGTCTTTGCAACTTGTCTATATTACTCAAACCTACATATTTATATTGATTTTAACCTGTAGAATTAAAAAAAAAATCCTGTTCTGCATGCTGCTGCCACCCCCTCCCATCTTATGCACTCCCCCTTTTTCCTCCAAATGTGAGCTCCCAGAATCTTCACTTAGGCGAACATGCCACACCCATCCTCCCTCTTTCCCTCTTCCCGGCCCCTGCAGGGTTTTGCCTTGTTACTTCTCATCTGGAATCACTTCTCTTCGCCCTGCAGCACCCAGCTCAAGCCCCTGTGCCTTCCATTCCCCCATGATACATATGGAACCCTTTGCTAATACACTGGCCTTTGTACACCACAGACACTAAACTCCATACCAGAGAATTCAGCATTTCAGTACATGCAGCCTTCAATTTTATTCATTCTACAAAATGGTTCAGCAAAAATGTACCAGGTATGGTATGGTATTCTAGGTACTGAATAAACAATGGTGAAGGTGGCCTTGGACTGTCCCACATATCATCCACACCTGTTTCACCTTTAGTTCTATTATAAGCTCTTGAAGGAGCTGTGCCTCTCCTAGCAGTCTTGAGTATGTGAATAAATACCTGCAGGTTAGAAAGATTAAATAATCCACCCTCTGGTCATTAACATTAATTGTAAAAGCAACCAAATTCAGCTGCTGCTTTTCAACTCATCCACAAAAAAATTATGATTTGTAACAGGTTGAGTGACACTTTGACATGTTATCTCATGAAGAAGCCAAGCATTATGGCTTGAGCTCTAATCCAACCCATAGGACACACAGATTTTTTTTTTAATTAGGTAAGCATTTATTATTTAGACTGTGATCATCAGGCCTACACTGAACAGGAAGCTCTTTGGGCTGAAAATGGTGTGGGCTGAAAGTCTCCATTCGTGCTTGTGCACCTGGAAGCGAGGTGTTTTAGTCTATGCTAGTGCAACTCTGCACCTGGGTTTCTTAGAACAGTTCTAGTTTTGCATGTCTTACTTCCTCCCTGGATCCTGATATTTGGTATTAAAGAATATAATGCAAGTGATACAGTTAAACACTTAAACCCCTCCCTCCGCCTGTGAGAATAGGCATACTAAGTCATCTGGTTACCAAGTGCTTGCTTTGGAATTTTCATTGATAAATTGATCCTCATGTTGACTGAGAATTCTGAGGAAGTCTTGGTCTCTGGTAAATGTCAGAGATTCCTTAATGCTGAAGCTTTGTTACAGGATATAAAACCATTCCTAGTGTGCTAAGGACCAAGAGAAGTACATACCAAGTTGTAGAAAATCCCCCCCTAAACAGCTCACAAAATGCAACAGATTGTTACTAGAGATTGATACACATTATTGGCTTCTGGGGTCTAAATCCCTAGAACAGAGAACTTTCTTGTAAGGTCAGGAAAATTGCTTTCCATTCACCCTGACCTGCAGGAGGAACCACGCCAGAGCAGCCACTGAAACCAAGTAAGATGAGAGGCTAAACCAAAAAGACGAGGATATTATTTTTTTTTTCATGTCATTCATATTTCCCACGCAGCTGCTGCCTTCCTTTGAGATTGGTGCATGGACTGAAGACGACGTGGTAAGCTGCTTCTGTTAATGCCTCAGTGCACCTGGACAGGTATCTCACACATTTATCCACAAGTTAAAAAATGCAACTAGAGGGAATTGGGCCATAGGAAAATCTATCTATCAGAAGCTGACAAATTTCATTTTCCCCTGTTTTTGATACAATAATAATGGAAAATGAGGCCTCCCTAGACAAGCAACTATCTCCTCAAATCTTCTAGCAACTATCTCCTCAAATCTTCTAAATCTTCACCTTCCCATTGGTCATGAAACTACTCCAGAATATAATAATAAGTACCAATAATAAAATTAAAGCAGTGACCCAGGAAACCAAATGAACATTCTTGGAAAAACTTTGACTGTAAACCTTCCTAAGATGCCAGATATGGACTTGAGCCATGGTGGAGAAGGATCTACTAAAGGCAGTGCTGGGCTGGGATTTCCCCTGCACTGGGTTTCCTTCCCGCCTTAGGCCTGCTCATAAGTGACAGCTTCATATTTGCCATCCTTGCTCTGGCCTTCCCCAGGAGGAATGGACACAGTGCTCTCAGACATCCTCTGCAGCCATAGCCAGAGGAGCTCCAGGATGAGAGGATGCTGAGAGGATGCGGGCAGAATATTTAAGTCCAAAGGAAGTCTTCCGCACCACGCTCCAGGTAGAAGCCCTGAGGAACAATCCTACTTATCTCCATATCTGTTTCCTTAGTGACAAAACAGGTAGGAGAATTCCTGATCGGAGCCCTCAGGGACTGTCCAGATCTGTTTTACAAGCTAGAGGGCATCATTAAATGAAGAAAAATATAAAGATGGAGCATAGTCTTCACAGGCTGGACCCCATCTCAGGGAATAGACCCAGTGCCTCCAGGAACACTCTCGCTGCTAGATCCTCTTCAGAAGCTCCACTCACCTAGCCCAACCCGATTTGTGGGCCAGGGCATTTCCCTTTCTGCCCTTTGTATTCCTCTGAAGTAAAACTTTCATCATTAGGTTGTCTCTGGCTCCTGCAGGGGAGGAAACTTGGCACCAGTTCTCAGGTTCTGAGCCCCAGTAACACTAACTCTCCTGCCAACCCTGCTTACCACGGAAAGAGGACTTAGGGTCTCCTTTATTCCCAAGCCTGCACATAATCTCTTTATCCCTAGCTGCAAACTTGGCCCCTCTGCTTTGAAAAGAAATTGTTAAAGCACTTGGATTACAACAGTTATTTTTAGTCTTTGCTCTGAGTTTGAGTGGTTTCTAGGCCATTTAAATAAAATTTCAGGGTCAAGGGCTCCCCAGAAAGTCAGAGGGACTGAACCTGGCCTTCTATGTGCCTTCACACATAGAAGGTAATGTCAGAGGCCAGTGTGATCAGGTGCCAAGTGAGATAAAAGGATAAGGGTTCACTGGTCTAGCCTCCTCACTCCACACAGGAAGTTCCATGCTTTGACTCGTCCAGGGCCACGTGGCTATGTCATGACCAGACAAGCCTAGGACAGAGGATTCATTCTGTCCATCTCTCTGTGCACTGCTGTGTGAGCCCTGTTACTCATACAACTCCTGAATATAGTGCCCCTGGGCAGTCCAGAGACCATGGGCACATCTGTGGAAAAATCACTTTAACCACCCTCTTGAAAACATTTTAACATTTCTCCCAAGGAAATGCCCCACAAAGAGAGGGATCTCTCCAATTTCAAAGCTTGAGATTTTAAAATCAGAGAAACTCTCCCATCTTACCTTTGTGGCTGAGCCAGGAATTAGAGATATTTTCACCTGTTGAAAATGCTGTGTGTGAATTTTCCAAGCCATGTATGTCCTCTCTTCACAGTATTTTTGGGTTCAGCAGCTCGTCAGAAAAGGCAAGTGGAATAAGTTATCTTTTTATTCATGGAGTTAACTTTGTTGGGGACATGACTTATTCTAACCTCTTCTTCTGTCTCCTCTCTTCCCCCAGGTGACTCTTCAGTGGAGATGAGTGGCTATGCAAGTTTGTTTAAGGAAAACAACATCACAGGCAAGCGACTGCTGCTGCTGGAGGAAGAAGACTTCAAAGACATGGGCATCGTCTCCAAAGGACACATCATTCATTTTAAGGTACCTTGCAAGGAAAAACATCCCATCCACAATTATTTACTGAGCACCTGCTATGCATGCAACAGGTGGTGTTAGCAGCTGGGGGTAGAAACAGTCAGTGCTGAAGTTACAGCTGAAATGCTTCTTGTTGTATCTGTCCATATTCAGCTGCTCCCCCTTTCCCCTCCCCCCTCATAATCCCACGACAGACAAGTTAACCCATCACACATCAGGTGTGACCTGAATGTACCCTAATATCACTCCTGTGCCCTCAGGAAGTTCCTAGTCTAGTGGGGAAGATGAATAGTTTTCGTGCAATCATGATGAAATGACTTCTGAGCAATGCCACACAGGCGAGGTGGGTTGGGATGAGGGAGGCTTTTGTGAAG